AATATATCAATATTTTAAAGAATTACTATCAATCCAATTTTCAAAATTTCCCAAAACTTTGCATTACCTTTAAAAGCATTACATTGCATCAATTGTCCCCAAATTATGTTTGTGGATCCTCTGATGTATATCAGATATGTTTACGTGCATTACGTACATTTCAAGCCTAGATGATTCTTGTTTACTATAAACATCCACTTTGTGCATCAGACCCTTATCGAATCCCTTTTACCACAACTCTGGCTGGTCCGTAATAAAACGACGCCAACAATTATACTTAGGAGAAGTTGTTGACGAACATTGCAGTGTCTCGCCCACTGATCAACGACTTCTCAGAATTGTTCTCCTTTCTTGCAAAGTTCCCCAACAAAAAGAAGAAGAAACAAACAACAATTTTAAATCAACAACAAAAAATACAATATAAAAAATTTTAAAAACAAAAAAACAAACTAGTCGGTGGCACTGACCTCTAGGTCATCTAGGTCAGTGGTCGGTGGTATAACGTAGCGATATCTCCTTGGTGGTATGTAAGTTAGGCATCTCTTTTTCCAAAGCCAGTTTTTTTTTTGATGTTCTTCAATTGACGTATTTTTAAAAAATAATAAAGCGTATATCAAAGTATCTTACAATAAAATACGATAGCATCATACTGTTTGTAGAGCATATATCTGAACTCTTCATGGTGATCGAAATTCATATCGTAGAATACAGACGATCGCAAAGACTTTCGAATAATAACCTCGGGCAATTTCATTAGCTTTGTGCATCAACTTTTGAAATGTGCAAAAAGCACAATTCAAGCAAATTAATATTTATATAAATTCCATTTCTTTTGGTCATATCAAAAAACTACTCAAGTATTAAAATTGTACAAATGACATATCATATAATCAGAACTGGTATTGACATCGCCCTGTCTAGCGATCGTTTTCATAGTACTAACATTTGCTTACGAGGATATTCTGTACCATGCATTGTGTCCAAATTGGTGGCTAAATTTAATCAAACAATGTTGGAATGGAATACAAACAAAAGGTTTAATCTGTTGTATTTCAAAGAATTACCACCCGGACAATGAGTAGATCGAACTTTGAACTTTGAACTCTGAACTTTGAACTTAGAGCGTCATGTAGGTAGAAGTATCCGGGTAGTCCTATTGTTGCAGATATCGTAGAAAAGTAGTTATCTGGTTTGTAATCGGGGAGGGGGGGGGGATAGATGTTACATAATCAACTAAATACTCAGCGTAAATGAGGCAGTCCCGCTTATCAGATAAGGATATGGATACCTTCAGTTTTCCAGTTTTGATTACTTTCTCCATCATGCACCGACTCTCCTCTCCCTCTCTCCAGTTCATTCTATAATTCTCCTGTTGAACGGCCGTTATATTATCCATTTGTTCCATCCCAGAAATTCACTTCTTTTAATCCTATCAAAAAGCATTCATATTTTCCCATAATCGTTTTCATTATAGCCTATGGATATAATTTTACGTTTGTTGATTTTATGTAAACTACATTTATTTTATTTTTTATTTTTGTCAGACCCTGTTTATTAAGGTATATTCTATTTTTTTGAGTAAACCTTTCTTCTATTTTTGAGTAAGCTTATATTACTTTAATATTGTTGAACCCCTATTTAAAGTGTACCTTTAAACTATGTTTCTATTAAGATCACCTCTCTGGTATATGCTACTGGTGAAACAAAGAGATGGGAACAAAAAGATCCCTATTTTATAGGCCTTGTTTATGTCTTAAACCCAGACCACTTCCTTTATTCGTAGAGTACATAAATCATGAATGACCAGTGGATACACTTACTGGTACCCCTTTGTCTTGGGGATAGGGAATAGTGGGGTTGTTTGCCTGGTTTGGAAGAAAGATTGGCTTTCTCGTTGAGAGCAAGTTTAGACTTCAAGGCAGATAGACGTGTGATGTAACTTCCCCCAGAAGTTACTATGTCGCAGCTTTTTAAGACCTGCCTTGATTTTGTTTCTTAACAGGTAAGCGAACACTCACCTTCCTAAAAGTATATTCATGTTCTATTCTATTAAATTATAGAGATATCACAAGTTCCTAATGCAATTTGAATTAATTGTATGATATTGTTTAGTGTGATTCTCCTTGCGTTGGAAAACCCATTGTATTATATTTTCATGTGTTTGTCCCTTAACTTTTGATACAAGATGGTTGTGACTGTGTATGAATTAAGATACCACTTTCCACAAGCCAGACATTTTTATAGATATTTCAGTCATTGTAAAATACTTTTGATTAGATAGTTTAGTGATAGCCCAATAACTACTTGTAAGACGATAAATACTCTTGTTGAATTACTGTGTTCCATATAAAGAAGAATTATTATTGATTAAGTAGGAGAGCAAGTTTAGACTTCAAGGCAGATAGACGTGTGATGTAACTTCCCCCAGAAGTTACTATGTCGCAGCTTTTTAAGACCTGCCTTGATTTTGTTTCTTAACAGTTTCACCATGGTTCCACCATGGTTCCACTTCCATTTCCCTCGGGACAAGAGTTGGGACTGCTGTCGTTGTTCAGGCAACGCTCTCCGCCTGATCGATGTATTTAGTGCTTACTGACGAACGACTTGTGTTTTATCATTTGTACTTCATATGAACATCTATTCTTTTCTTCTATTCCCTAATATGTTTCTACTGTACAGTGTAGTTTACTTTGCTCTTTTGCTATCATTCTTGTAATAAACATTGTAAAGCTTTGCATGTAGCTGTTTTTGTAATATTGTTGTTTGAAATCGAAATGCCAGTTGTCACACTGGGAATTTATTATCGGTGTACCTTCGACACTGAATATTAATAAATACCTCTTTGGAATTATCATTGGCACAAAATATATGTTTCAGACTTATGTATTTTAATGGATCTCCGTGTTTACTAATCTTAATTAATTGAACCGGCGCAGGCATATAAGGCCTGTGTAACATTTTTTTGTAATTTGGCAATTTTTTCTTCTTCGATGTACCATGTCATTGCAGTTTGAAAAAATATGCAAATATCATACTATTTACATACCAGAGTTTTGTATCCAAACTGGAATTATACAGCAAAAAAATCCACGTAGATAGGTAGGAATATTGCAATTAATTGCATTTCAAAAGATAATCATCACACGAGTTGACCTCTGAGTACAGGTGAACGGAATCTGTATTGTGACGTCCCGGCCACTCATTCACTACGTCACAATAGTCCCAGCAAGCCAATCGATGTTGATATTGACAGCTTTTTGATTGAATATCCACAGTTCATTCGTGGCTCCAATTGTCTCTTACAATTTCAATATCCTAATCAGATAGTTGACTGCTCTCTTCCCTAAATATTCAAATTGGAAGGTATCCATTGTTGATTTAATCCGAATGCGGATCTTTTTTGTCTTGAAGATAATTTCGATAAGAACGTTAGAAACTTTTTTAAATGTCGTTCATAAATCCCAGTTGATTGATTTTTATGTAGGAGGAAGAAAATTTAGAAAAAATGATCAGATCTCTTTCAAAAAAAGTTTTCTGGTATGTTGAAAGATATAAATCAATAACATCAGTCTTTCGATCTATTATAATGTCAATTATGGGAAGCGTTGCCTGAAGTTGTGAGATAGTATGAAAATAACACATTTTTATACACCAACCAGCGGGTTCTTTTTTGTGACCGTAGCCTTTGTGATCAGTAATGATGGCTAGCTGAGAATTCTTAATCTTTTTTTGGGGGGGGGGGTATTGGATACCGATTCTTTTTATGAAATGAATCCAATGATTGTAATCTTGGCAATTGTATTTTTTTTTTTTTTTTTTTTTTTTTACATCATTGGGATTTTTGAAGAAGCAAAGGAGCACGTGAAAAGGAAGGAAATATACTCATTGTGTATTTTTATACATTCGCACAAATTGCATCAAATTTAATTACATGTCATATATTGCGTTTGTCTTTAACCAAAGGTTTAGACCAGTTGGCATGCCGAATAACGCCATATAGAATCAAATTTGATTTTAAATGTATAATATTATCGATAAATGATAGGCATGTGTACTATAAATTAAAATAATAATAAAAAGGTTTTCGACGCTTATAGTGAAATGTCATTACGTCTGAGAATATACCCAAACATATTGAATGAAAAAAATCTCTGACGGCCGATTGGCATATTTCAACAAGTTCTATAAAATCACCGGAAGACATAAGCCAATACTTTGAATTTCTTTCCATCATCATAAAAAAATTGTAATTACCAGTGGGGATGCAAAAATTGAATTTGATCTCAACAGCAATGAACTTGAAAACGATTTCCAAATTGCTTTTATACTAAACAATTAATTGTTCTGATAATGTATGATAATAAAGGCACTTTGACCACAGCCGAGTACATGAATTAAGATAAATGCATTTGGTACATGCATTTAGATTAATGGACTGGCCCCCTAAAATTATAGACAAAGATTTTTCAAATAATAATAATTTATGTTGTTCTAGCTTAAGATCCCAGGTAAACATTATTGCGAAATACACCATTAAAGCACAATCGGTAAAGGCAAGTTGCAGTTTCAAACATGAAGCAGCGAATTCGATTCATATAAGTATGTCATTAATCATGTACATAAATATACTGAGTGCTTTCAAATATATATCATCGATTTATTATTATTTTTTTTTTAGATTTCAAGAGCAACAAATTTTGTTCAAAGCTCATTCCGAAAGAGCGACATCTATCGTTGTAACATGTCCAGGTTAAACTGAATGCAAAAACTGTGAGCTTTCAAGTAGTTTTCAAAACCTATCACCCTCGATACAATGGCAATGCGACTTCGACCTGATTCTATCTTTTAAAGCCCCTCTAAAGTGTTGGGAGCCCGACGAATTTGATGGCAAAATTTCACTTTAGTTATATCATAATGTAAAAAATGATGTCATTGAAAATATTTTCAAAACAAATGTGTTTGAACTTTGAAGACCAATATCATGAAAGAAATTCAGATTTTCTGTGTACAGCAGAAAACCCAAATTATGTATTCTTTTATCAATATTTGTCTTTAAACACATTTTGGGGCGAAAAGCTTTGACGAAGTGTGTCTTAAAATTAATGACATCCTCTTTCACATTATGATACACTTTAAGTGAAATTTTGCCATCAAATTGTTGGCGAAATTGGGGCTCCCAACACTTTAGAGGGGCTTTAAAGACATTACAAGAGTATATAAATAGGATCCTAAAGGTGCAAACATTTTGTGATAGTAGTTCATAGTGGTCATAAATATGAGAGGTAAAATTGACATTGCGGGACATTCTCGGCCTTTTAGGAAATGAAAATGCCAAGTCGGATCCAAATCAGGAACACTCTTGTGACTGTATGGCCTGAAAACATTTCGATTCGCAGCCGACCGACACATTACCTAGCTCGAATGCAGCCAGTAATACACTGTCATTTACAACTTCATTTATATGTTTTGAGGAACCCCCATTTTCATATCTAAAGACGTTGATATATTTCTACATAATCGGATCGCAGCCGGATCGCTTAGCTACGGTGGTCTCGAGATGTCTAAAGTTCTTTCAGTAAATCTTGCGACTTGTCTGACCTCACTACGATTCGCAGGGTGACAGTTCGTAACTTCGTGTCCTTTTTATACATCAACAAGTGATTATGGTCAAGGTCGTCGAGAGCTTGAAGAATCTTTCGTGGTATTACCAGGAACCAAGGCATGGGGACAGTCGGAGAGAGTCTTGCGATTGGTTTGGCGTCACTACGATTCGCAACACGATCATCGGTTCATGGTTTCTTGTCTTTCTTGTGCTTCAAGGTCTTGGTTAATCACCGGGAGTTGGGCTAAGCTCGAATAATTTTGATTAGCACCAGTTACCGGTAAATATTTGTTCGACGTAGTTACCAGGTACCAGGGCTGTGACGCCGTTACACACGCCTGTGAACCATCCATCGTTGAAATCATGAGTTAGGTAAATGACGTCATTTTCTTGGAATGTCATCTCGTCTTCGCGCAGGGCCGCGTAGTCGAAGAGCGCCACACCTGTCAGAGGGAGAGAGAGAGAGAGAGAGAGAGAGACGAGACGAGAAGCATTAATGCTGACGTCAGAATGCAATTGATTTATGTTGGTTTGACTGATTGACTGATTGATTGATTAGTTAATCGATTGATTGATTAATCATGTGTTTAGAATGGTCTACATAATGCTACTTCGGAGGTGCGATGGCTCAGTGGTAGAGCAGTGGTCTCGTAACCGGAAGGTCCCGGGTTCGAAACCTAGTCGATGCGCTAGAGCCCTTTGGTGAGGCATTAATCCTTATTACCAAGTCCCTCGGAGAGGATTTAAAGCCGTCGGCACCCTGATTGTTTTATAATGATAATAATAATGATGATAATACATTTATAGAACACAGAAACTATCCAACATTATGTATATATTCTACTGCGCTACAAGAGCCCCTTAGCAGTCTGGTTAAAACAAATGTCTTAAAAACAGCCCTGTATAGAAATCAATGTCTTAATATAAAACGTCAACGGTTTTTGATTTTAGTAATTTAGAAATAGATATATAGAGGAAGCCTGTAATACATAACTATAAATAAAGTAATGGAAGAGAGAAGCAAAAACGGACAGGGAGCGCCACAAAAAATGAAAGAAATGAGAAAAATCAAGAACTATTGCATCGATGGCGAAAAATGACTAGTCAAAAGAACGAATATGAAAAATACCAAAGTAGAAGAAAATAAAGAAGAAGAGGAAGAAGTAGAATTTTTTTTTTTTTTTTTTTAAAGATGGATGAGGAGAAGGAGAAGAAGAAGAAGAAGAAGAAGAAGAAGAAGAAGAAAAAAGACTAAGAAAAAGAAGACAACGACAGTACAAGGGGGGAAATGCGGGAATGAAGACGAAAACAGCGGAGGAAGAAGTTATAACATTAAATTGGTTCACCCATGGGGCGGGTGCGGATGGGAAATAAGAAGGTTAAAACAAGTTAATAAAGGAGAAGAGAGGAAATGAAAAAGGGGTAGAAACTGAACCATACTTCTCCATAAAAACTCGGATGGTGCCCATGCTGGTGTTTCTTCAGAGATAAATTCAGTTCTTGCTGCATCTGGCATATCTCCCTCTGCCGGACCCGAATCAGCTGCAGGATCAGGTACTAGGATATTAAAACAAAGAAACCACAATCTTTTAATAGAACAAATATTAATCACGCTTACTTTAGTCCTTTGTAAGACTCTCCAGCAAGTCAAAAATATTTTACTTGTTATGTACATTAAAGGCTTAAACTTTCAGTATTCTGTGAGCTTTTAGGTTCAATACCATCGGAACTACTTTCAAACAATCAAGGCAATTTCAATATCATTGTGCGTCACATACTTGAAATGTGTGAACATGACATTGATGCATTACGTAATCCAAACGAGATTTCCACAGGACAACCAATAGGGTATCAAAATTGCCCTTGAGTTGAATTTTCGAAAATGGTTGCGATCGTGCTGTTCAAATATTCTTGGTCTTTCCCTCGATTCCTCTCTCATATCCTTTATTCCCCAACCCCGCACACCTAATCTATTTTTTCTAAACTCTAAGTTTTAATGATTCAAATATTTCCTTTATCTCTAGATAAGTTCATTCTCGGTTGCAATTATCTGTTGTAGATGTATGTATGTTATTTTTTCAAATTGTCTCTTTTGTAAACCAGCTGAAGGAACATGTTTTTTGTTTGCTCGTTAACGTTCTGGGACGGAGGAAAGCCAGATTCTTACTTGACACTGTCAAAGGTGGCGGTTGACTGTGAACAGGCTGGTTGCTGTAAGGCTTGTCTGGTGTATTTCTCGTCTCAAGGCTCTGTTCCTCTACAGCCACCGTTTCTGACTCCAGTTTTGCTAATCGTTGATTGAGTTGATCTGCAAAACCCATTGCTGCCTGGGCCTGGGGTTTCTTTTCGGACAATGATGTAGAATGTTCTTGATGATTGCTACTGGCCGGCTTCTTTGCACCTGTGCCACCAATAGGAGGTAGTGGAGGCGGTGGTGGCGGGGGTGCCGGTCCGACGCCCGGTAGAGGTGGGGGACCATCGCTCGGTGTAGGAGCAGGGGCAGGAGGTGGGGGTGGGGCAGGAGGTGCAGCGAAGTAGAGGGGGTTGGATACGTCTGATGATATGATGTGTCCAGCCGCTGAGGGTGGCGCTGATGGTGGCGGTGGAGGTCGACTCATAGGTCGAGGAGACCGGCTTGCCTTTCGACTCACTGTGGCCTTCTGTGTTTTGCTGGGACTCCTCGAAGACCGTTGTTCGTCACCTGGAACGATCAGGAGATTTGCTGTTCCGTTGGCCATCGGTGAGTAGGACACCTGCTCCTGAAGATTAGGGGAAGGGGCACGGGGAGACTGGGATTGAGGCAACATCAGCGACGCTGGTCTCGGCGGCGGGGGTAACTCCTCATCCGATAGCCCGTCACCCTCCGGTGGAGGTGGTGGCGGTGGTGACGGAGGTGGCGTAACCAGGTCTTCTGACTTCACACTAGACCCGATGCCAGATGAAACAGAAACATCATGCCCTCCGACTGATAATTGAAGGGGATGTGGAGGAGACGATAATGGTGGTGGTGGTGGCGGAGAAGGTATGTAATCAGAACTCTCAGAATTTAAATTATCGTCTAGATATACCACTCCTGTAAAGACAGGCGGCTGCAGTGAGTATGTTGATGGTGGACGCGATGGCATTGCGATGGGCGATCGTACACTCCGTTTAGAATCCTTAAATGAAACAAAAGAAGCCATTGTTCATTATATACTGCTTTGATATACAAGCGTTGATTTTAAATTCCTCGGTCTAAAATTCGTTTTCTTTCACATTCTAGTTCGTTAATGAGAATTTGATCGTCTATTATTTATTAGATTACGCTCCGTGATTGAGGTCCCTTTGCATTCTACTCCTTCTTCGCCTTCCTCTTCTTGTTTCTCTTCTTCTTGTTGTTCGTCTTCTCCTCCTTCGTCTTGTTGTTCTTCATCTTCTCATTCTTCTCATTTTCTTCTTCTTCTTTGCCTTCTTCTTCCCCATCTCTCTCCTTCTGCATTTAACTCTTCTTCTTCTCCTTCTTTCCTAATATAACCCCTCCCCACACCCTGATCATCCATACCTTCTTTCTCAAGCTGCCTTTCGGAGTTCCTCTGCTTGTTGTACTCGTCATCGAGCCAGATCTCGATACCCTTGGCGACGACCCAGGCAATCCTAATTTCATACCATGCCCTACGTCATCGAGGCTCCCGTAGTCAATGGGTATGGACATGTATTTGACCCCGTCGTTTAATGATGTCGGGGCGTCTGGTTTAGTGATCTTGTGGGACCTGGTGTGGTCCTTTGGTGTCATCAGGGAGCTCTTGAAAGTTTGTAGGGAGGTCCGCTCGTTATCTAAATCTATTGCCTGGAAAGAAAAACAGAGGATGGGGATCAAAGCTCTTATTCGAGTGGCGTATCCATAAATTCATCAACAATGGGACACACTCCTTAAAAAATGGGGGGGGGGGGCGTCAAATAAGTCGGTGGGATAACGTGGTCCTAGCCATTTTAGGGATACTGATATCGTTGGAGGGATTCGTCGGTCTTACTGGGTTGATGAAATGTGAACCGGGGGGCTACCCATTTTCGGAAGGGGCCCTGCCATCTCCTTTTCGCGCCCCCTCTCCCGATCTTTTCAATTTCCTTTTTTTCTCGTTTCTTATTCGCAAGTCAACGGAGGGGGGGGGGGCACGCGCGCCCCTGCTCCCTGTCTAACTAAGCTACTGTTAGCAGCCCCCTCTCACTCCCGCGGGGGGGGGGGGGGGCTGCAGACTCCTGGAAGTTGTAGTGGTTAGTTCTCTTGTATTTTATCACCACTGATGTGACCGAGAGCATGCAGTTTGATAGATATATGACCTTTGGGAGGGGTGGGGCATCTTTCTTGAAGGGACAGGCTAATCTAGACCGATTCGAAATTAGCACTGGGTACGGTGGTTTGTAATGCGGGGAACTTTTCCCAAAACACATCTTACTAACCAGGTTTATTTGATTCATACTAGAGTCCATGTTGCCGAGCGTACTAGCTGTACAGTCCAACATCTGAAGCATACTTGTAGCTAGCGTGTTGATCTGGTAAGCCACACTGGCCAACGACTGCGTCGTATAATTCTTCGTCTCCTCAAGCGCAACTCGCTTGTCTTTTGCCTGTAAATAGAAAATATTTGAAAAATAACGAAATAAGTCGAACTGCAATTTTCAGTAAAATGTTATGCAAAAATATTTTAAACCAGTATTCTGTAAGGGGGGGGGCAAATGTGGCACGTTCTCCTTGTGTATAATAACAGGGTTTTAAAAGGGGGCATGGGTTGGCGGCGGTGTCCCCCCCTCGACTCATCCAGCAGTAACATGATATCAGCATTGGTTCGTGTTAGAGGGAAATCCAACCTCAATAGACAACTGCCCTAAAAGGAAGTGGAGAACTTAGAGAAGCAGAGTGTTGAAAGTTTGAAAGTTTGAATAAAATCGAACAAAGATAAGAAAGTTATAATTTTTTGAAATTGTATTCACTATACGTATGGGCATTTCAAATCGACTGAATCTGTAATATTACTGTGATTAGTAGTGCCTGACAATTTTCCCAATTAATTAAACACACAAACTTACTAAAAATGTATTTTTTTCTTCAAAATGTATGACTCGGAAGGGCCTTCTGCTAGAGGACTTATAATAATATGCTGTCCATAATACATTTTGAGTATTGCCCTGAGGGAGAATGCACAATTTGAGATTCACATTGATCTAGTGACCTCAAATTTCAAACATTCATAACTCCCTTATTATTAGCACGATTAATTCTAACTTTCACCATTTTGTTTCTCTCTTTTTCTGCTTTCATACAAATGAGCTTAATGCTATTTGATATTGACTGATACTATACTAAGGTATTTATACAAGCACTGTATCATACATCATTCAATACTTTATTGGTACGTCTGGTAAGAATAAGTAATACCACAAATACACCCTGGGGTTTCTTTGAAATCAATTTTTTTCTAATCTTGCGGTTAACATCATTAGATAAGCGTGTTAACTTAATATTATTCAAAGTGGAGGGAGTTTGTTTTCATTATCGATAGGAAAATTCAAAGTTCAAAGTTCAAATTGTATGCTATGCGGGTAAAAGGAAAATATAGAATAATCGTGTGGTCCAAATAAAGGTACTCAAATATTTCTAGAACGAGGCAAGATCATCTCCAAGCGCTGTACCACTGAGCACCATGCAAACACATATCACCTGACTTGATCTGTTTTAAGCTGGATCGTAATATTATTAAGCAAACATGCCTTGTAAACACATCATTTTGTTGAAACTAAAAACATGATGGCGACCCCTTTAAGCAGGGGCGTATCCAGGATTGTCAGAAAGAGGGGGGGGGGGGGGCGGATATTTCTTTACAATGTATGACCCGCAGTCTTGTAACATGATTTTCAAAAGTCCAACTAGCTCGTTCAGACTCGACTAGCAGACGAAAGGGTCGGATGTGCATGAGATCATGTTTTCCTTATAGAAAGTTTTTAAATCTATTTTTTCTCCGCCATAATGTGGGGCCTATGTCCCTTCGTATCACCCCTGATCTGCCGTACATACAGTATAGTATGTCTTTACAAAAGTCGGACATTTCGCAATACTTTATCAGTAAAACAGTGGCTAACACTAAAGTAGTCCAAATGGTTATCTCAATTCTGAAAATATCCAAGCGGTTTGTTTCAGGTATAATGTAAGCTGTACTTACAAATGCTTTTGAATAATATTCCGAGCTCTAGTTAAGCTTTAAAAAAACTGTTTAAAGACAATGGATTAAACAAAATATTTTGGGGAGAATGGTGGGTATTTTCTTGCTACAGTTAACTATATATTTGAGATGCTGTTTAATACGATACACAATATTCGTTAAAGCCCATTTATATAGGTTGCCCCCTACCTCTACACATATTTTTGTCGGAAAGTTGATAAATGTCAAGATATTATCACAATTCAGCTGCTGCAATTTTTTCTTCTCCTCCATCAGAAGAAAAATGAAAAAAGAGAAAGAATTATATATCGTTTCATATTTTAATCCTGTTAATCTATGTGATACCGCCTATCAACAAACTGATTGATGAAAAGTACTCAATTTAAAAAATGAAAGCACTATATATACAGTACACTTCCTCATTCTTGCAAGTTCGCGACGCTTGCCATTTCCAAGGGCATTGAAACAAACCCGGATTCACCCCTAGCCTTTACCTATATACATCCCCAATGATTCCGGATTATACTCACCATCAGCCAGAATCATTATAGGGAATAGATAACAAGGAAATAATATTACTCAGGTTTTTATGTAGGTATATGCGCCTTTTGACTGCATCTAGGTGATTTTAAGTACTATGGGTAATAGTTCAAAGCAATTTTGAAGTAACTAAAGTAAGTTGAAAGCAGCTATACATTCAAAACGTGAAATACGAGCAGCCACGCACTTTGTTAAGCTTTTACAACATTCCCTCTATAAATATATCTATATAAATTATATTTTTGGGAGTCAAACTTCTGGTTGACTCGAAAAGGTTATTGCGCAAGAATTTGTTTAAAAAAATACAATGCATGCATCATGACCTCTCGAGACAAGAGTCAAATTAAAGGCGGTTTATTGAGCAAGATTGTTTGGAGAAAGACGATACTTTCAGATCGTCACCTTTGGACTTTAGAGATGAGTTCTGGGCCCTGTTTCACGAAACTTGTTATCTATAACAAATGCATAATTCCTATGACAAATTTGCTCTGAGCCAATCAGATGCCATGATTTCAGTAGCTTATAACAGATATTGTCACTTGTTCTTGGTAACCTGTTTTATGAAACAGGGCCCCGGTCATTATGATTACGGTGAGAGAATATGTCTGGAAGCGATTTGAAAATGATGATTATCATAATTATGAAGCACATTAATCAAGTGTGTGTATATATACTTCGACTCTTCGAGGTTTAGGAATCATTAGAAATTGACCCAGAATTTCTGAAAGACACATGTACTGTACATAGAAATGTACCACGCGACCACACACAAAATATATGTGGCATAATATCTTTGGTCCAAAGTTCCAAACACTTATTTCTTGCAATAGTGATTTTGAATATGAGGGCATTTGAATAGCACTCATTCTTCAGGAGATATTTCATATAGGATATTCTTCGACACTATTATACAATTAATGAAAAAGCGAACAAATCATTTTTCACTATTCACATGCAGGCTTCAAACTTCTCTTTGACCTGAGCAGAGTTGTGTTATTTTATTGTGGATTTTCCGTCATTAAACGTATATAATCATATATATGCATCGTGTACATATTGACACGCGTGAAGAGATATACAATATCGTGTTGAATGATCCTCACTGATCATATAACTGTTTGTTCTGTTTTACCGCATAGTTTAGAAATATGCGATAACCATGCAATTTGGAAAGATGTAATAAATGGAATGTCTGTTTCATAAATAACAAAGGCTGACTATTAAACATGCATTATGAACAACGCAGAATCGAGTATGGGCTATGGATATAGTCATAGACCGATTTCTAATAATTATGTTTAAACAAATTTCAGTGTGGTATAACAATGATGTAATTTTTTAAAGAAAGTAGGTTAAAATAGAAATTGCTCAAATAGTTCCTCCTTTGTAGAAAACTGTTGTGTTTCATGGAATAGAATACTACGGTGAAAATGGCAAACTATATAATACCAGAATCAATGCGACACATATAAGTGTGGAGGAAATGTCTTTATGCCGATATCCGTTAGAAATATCAAAGCTATAGACGGATGCTTTCCTCAATGCTGGTATGAGGAAACATAATTTTATACTCAAACTCAAACATATTCTCGGTAAAAACAGTAGTGGATCTCATTTCCCCTTGTAATTTGCTGTATTGGAACACTGATTTCTTACATGGCTAAAATAACCGTGAAAACAAACACGTGACGATGTGATTCATTGTATAGTAAATAATTAACTCCGAATTAATAGGCTGATGCCAATCATGCGTGGCTGCTCTATTTGCTGTGTTTTATATGCCGATCCAAGGTAATTAAATAGTCTGAGTAAATATAAGGCTATCAATGGCGCACAAAAGAATGTATAAATATTATATGACAGAGGAGTAATTTAAGTAAAGTATTTACATTTATGACACGCATTTCATGATAATACTTGACACATCTATCACACATTGGTTAGAGCATGCAGATTGAAACGATTTTGAGGTGATCTTAATGTGTTGAATGATCGTGTATTTTGTTGTTGTTGTTGTTGTTGATGATGATGATGATGATGTTGATGATGATGATGATGAATACTATGAGGAGTCATAAAGAAGAGGGGGCAGGATGATGATGATGATGATGATGATGATGATGATGATGATGAATACTATGAGGAGTCATAAAGAAGAGGGGGCAGGATGATGATGGTGATGATGATGATGATGATGATGATGATGATGATAATGATGAATACTATGAGGAGTCATAAAGAAGACGGGGAACAGGATGATGATGATAATGTTGAATATTATGAGGAGTCCTAAAGAAGACGAGGAGGATGATGCGGATGAGCATGAGGAGGGTCATGAATAGAAGGGGGTGGTGATGGTTGTGTAAGTGATGTTAATTATTGATAGTACATGTTATGGGCACAATTTCTGGTTTCATCGGTAATGGTATGTAATGGTATATGGTGGTGGTAGTTATTGTAATGATTTTTATTTGTGATGATGATGATGGTGGTGGTGGTGGTGGTGTTGGTGGTGGAGGTGGTGGTGGTGGTGGTGGTAGTTAGTAGGCGTGGTAGTGGTAGCGATGGTTGGCGGTGGCGCCATTAGTGGACCGATGATTTGTAAGTGTGATGATGATATTTGAAGATGGTGCTCGCGGTAGTGGTGCCCGTGGTATGGTGGTTGCTTGTGGTTGTGGTCCGGTGAGTGTTACCGGTTACAAAGTACGTCAAAATCAATGATAGCATTAGACAACATCTCTTAATTTTGATTAATATCATATGCCCTCAAATTATGTAGTTATATAGTCATGGTGTCGGAGACGGCGAGTTAAGTAAACGAGAGCCAATTCACACGAGTATCACAACCAATCTTGTTCTTGAAAAAGTTTAGTGGACAACCATTAAACGAAGCAAGTTTGTGATAAAGTTCGTCGGATGACCAGATAATAATTATACCAGGGACCACCCTCATAATATACAAAGCTACAAACTGAAGGCTCACCTGAACATAATTGTCCTCGCAGTAATTCGCAATCTGTTCCAGACTATCACAGTTCTCTAACAAAGTTCTCCTCGCGGTCTCAATCTCCTCCGCAAACGTCTCCTCCATCACGACTGTATATACCACGTTCAAAAGTTACTGCAGAACTCGGAACAAAATTCCATAAATCTTCAAATTCAACAAAGCTTACAATAGTCGAGGCATCAAGTTTCTAGTAGTATCCAGTATCAACAAGTGATCGTGGTTCCATAAGCTAATCTCTCACTTTTAAACGGTCCAAAATAGAAGATGGGTAAAGACATGGGAATGTCTGAATAACACGAACATCACACTACATGCCAAAAACATGTAACCAGTGTATCGTTATGAGTTATGACAGTTTTAGAAAAAGTCCAATTACTGGGCCTGACTTTCGGTTTCGCGAGTGCTCCAAAAATCTTCACCTCGCGCCAAAACGAGCCAGGCCATAACCCAATGTCGTCTGCTCTCTATAATTGAATGCAGCGAGCTGGGTGGACTTAGGAATGAATGAGCAATGGTGGTGGTATTTACTCGGGAAGAATGGGCAATGTACACATTGGCACAAGTACTTCAAATCCCATGACAAACTCCAGCAGGTGAACTGTACTCGACTCGTTCTCATGCATGAACCAACCGTAATAAGCGATTTTCGCCTCGGTGTTCGCCCAATTCTTTTATATTTTTCTAGTGAGAGGGGGAAAAGGTTAAAAGCTAACTTTTGTGATAATTTTCCTTCCCAAGGGGTTACCATGGTTACATGTGAAAAGGCTCACTCATTCTTTGTATTTTTGGTTAACATGCAGATTCTGCCGGTCTGATTTCTTTTCATTGAAGACAGGAAACTATATACTTCAATAATAATGATTTTTGATAAACTGAATAGATAATATTGTTGAATTTGCACACAGTAATGATCTTGAGAATAATTTATAATCCAGTTCCACAAATAATTGATAAGAAATTAATGAATGAAAGAAAGGATGACCTTTGTACTCTATTCCTATTTTGACTTATCAGGAGTGTTTACAGTATACATCTCAAAGTTCAAGATACTTTATTTAACCATTACGATAAAAACACACACACAAACAAATCTCGCCAAATTAAGGTATATCTTCATCCTCTTCAGTGCATGTGGTTGATATACAAGTGTTTTTACACTTAATGTGCACAATATGATTTATATGAATAGGCGCTTGAATTACATATCCAGCTTTCATGTCACTCCCTTTGCCCTGATCAGCTTAACGCGCATTCAAGGAAGTCTCTTATATACCGGTAGGCAGCCATTCACCTCACCTGGGTGGAGAGAGACAAGTTTTGATGAATGTCTATATGGTCGTTGGTGGTTTGAAAAAAAGAAATTAAGACATTTTAGTATGTTACAGTCACGATTCTGTCTTGCGAGTGAACGGAACAGAACAGACAGGGCATTTTTCACTTTTTTTCCAATCCTTACCCCATTTTTAATATAATTTCATTTTCCCTATATCCCCTTTATATTCCCCTCCCTTCCTTCATTATGCAACCCTTTTTTCTCTCGGTCTAACTCTTTTCCTTCTCTGCTCCCTGTCTCTCTTCCTCTCTGTCTCTCTCTCTCTGTGTCTCTCCCCTAGCTCTCTCTCGCTTCATCTCTCTCCCCCTCTCTCTCTCACTCACCCTCCCCTACACTCTCTATGCATTTCCCTTCTATCTCTCTCTTCTCCTCATCTCTCTCTTCCTTCCCCTCATTCTCTCTCTTCCTCCTTCATTTTCTCTCTCTCCCCTCCCCCTCTCCCTCTCTCTCTCTCTCCCTCTCTCTCTCTCTCTCTCTCTCTCTCTCTCTCTCTCTCTCTCTCTCTCATGTATGCCGGTTCCTCTCTATTCTCCCCTCTCCATCATCCTATCTATTTTTTGTCCGTATTCTTCTTTTTCCCCTTGACACCATTTCCCCTTGTCACCATTTCCCCCCTAATGCGATATACCAGGGATATGAGAGTTAAGTCATGTAGGCCTACACCATAATAAGCCTGCCAGAAAAGGGGAGTTTATTTTTATCAATATTTTCCCCGTTCTTCTCTCCCGCATCAGTTTCCCTGGCATAACAGAAATTACTTGCCTGTAGACTTGGACGAAATCAATAATGAAAGGGAAATCGTGCGTAGACCATAATCTCAGTATTAGACTGTTCTTGAGAATGAGTTTCTAAAGTCGATATATATTCTGACAAGGAACTAGTAGTTATTGATTAACAGATGTTGAAAACAAACAAGCAGGTATTTACTTTGCTGTATGGTTCCGATCCGATTAGTCATCTGTCGGCTTTAATATTGATCTGAATCGCACATATTAAAAACAAAATTTAATATATGAGATTTTCTTATTCGCTATCATTTGTATGCAGAATAGTTTGCTTTAATAGAAAATAATCATGTTGAAAATTAGCATGTTTCCTGTGCTCGAAATGAAATGTGCATGCATTGGAAGAAGCAAAGCCAAAACTTCCAATACATTCATGAAGTCTATAATCAGTATTGTGTTTGTTTTGATATCTCACGATTAATTAGAATTGCACATCTTTCCTGCATGACTTTTTGAAAAGCTATTCAATGATCTGCAGCACATTGCAGAAAAGGTAAATCGGTTATTAAATAAAGTGACAGATGAAAACAGGACACCTTTTGTGGTGAAACCGATTCTTTTTCTTTTCCTTCTCCCCCTCCTTCCTCATCTCTCTCCAAAATGGATGAATACTTGAATTACTTAGATACTGCTTATCTATGAGGTTAAATGACACTTGCCCATATCTAAATATCGAAACATACAGTTAACTAAATTATTCATACCCTTGTAAATGTTATTTTTTTTGTGTTGTTCGTAACTCAAGAATGAAAGGTGGACTGGTTAAATTAGGGCCCTTGTTGAATACTTTAAGATGTAAGCTTTAATATGTCACATTCTCAAGAAACATAAATTGGGACAAATCGTTTTTTCACATATACTTAACAATTAAAAAACATGGTAAGATTATGTGTACTTGTTAACTGTATGCAGTGGCGTACGCAGGATTTTTTGAAGGGGGGGGGGGGGGGAATTAACATATTTAAATCAGGCAGGAAATTTTGCAACGACTATGAAAAAAAAATTGAAGGGGGGTGGGGGGTTCCTGCGTACGTGCCTGACTGTATGTACGTACATGTATTATATGATAAATACAGCGCACAATGCTATGCCACTGTATGGCCACCTCAATTAATAAACTAGGCATACAGACAGAAATAATTCAGAATAATATTTGTTTATTATTTATACACATAGTAACATATATCAGCAAATTTCTCCTTGGTTACATGCATACATAACTATATGCATTCAAAGTTTATAATACAAAATCTTATGTTTATTTTAACAATATTTCATGTATTCTTTCAACACATTTAAAGAATAAGATACATTGTCATCTTGGACAGTCAATTATTGAAAAGGAGGTGCAGGAGCAGATTAAACAAACATCAAACAAACAAATAATTGATGAAATAAGAGGAATATAAGGTGTTTAAAGGGGAAGTTCACCCTGATTTTAAGTTGGTTTTAATAAAAGCAGAAAAAACTCAAATAAGAGAGTCATGAATTGTTTAAGGTGAGATCAATCAAACAATTACTGATTAATTTGTCAATGTTTATTTTTCTTATCACATCCTAACCTTAATATCAATATTAGTGTCTGGTAAAATCATAATTAGCATACAGCCTATCACTGCCAGCCTCCAAATGACCAGCGATCTTACAAAATTTTGCTGTGATGCCATACTCCCTGGCCTTTATGCCCTCTCTAAATATCAAAGCCATATAATAAGGTCTCTTAGATTTAAGCATGTCCTTTTGTTTTATATACTGTTACATGTCATTTGTTTAGACCTGTTCATTTCTTTGAAATTGGCCAATAATGGATGATATTTAATGCCTGCATTATTTTGTTGCAATAGAAAAATCACTCTTTTACTGGGAAAAAACATTTCCAGCAACATATAACTTGCATTTGTACTTCGTGGGAACCAGGGTAGCTTTTCATGAAACCGTCATAAGTACATGTTGGCTGACATCCTATTGAAACATGTGTATCAAAAGTGCCACATGTTTCAATGGGATGTCGGTGAAGTTGTACTTGTGACGGTTTTGTGAAACTGCATCCAGATTTATCTCATGTTCCATTTCCATGTTGATGCAAGACCATTAGCACATAAATGTTTAACAATAGAAGAAAATGCACCAACTTTAAAAACAAAAAATAAAAAATGAGCTCCCTATATCTAAAATGTTTAGTTATAAGGCCTATATGTCCTAACGACTAAGGTCAACATAGAATGTAATTACATTCTGTTGGCACTAGTGATGACCTTATGGTATTGTAAATCAGAAATGCTTGTATCATAATCAGAAGCAATTTTGAGTAGTACCCTGATGTGTAGTCATCACAATACATGTCATGAAGGAAATTATTTGTAACCTGACTCTAGAGGGAGCTATTTAAAATATGTTTGTTCATACTGTTAAATACAAAATGTATTGGACTGAAATATACTGTATGAATATCTTACTCTGTAACAAACTGTATGTTTACATTATATATCTTCATTTTGTCCACCCTTTCAACAAAGCTTTTGGGGTGCAACAAATTAATTCTCTGTAGCTAATTCATCTTCTTCAATATAAGCAAGTATTTCAAGTTCTTAATTGGTAATAACATTTGAGTGCTGTAAGTGTCAGAAACATATCTTTCATCTTGATATTGAAAACAAAATGGAATCAGTGTAAAAAAGGACCATAAATGAATGTGTTTACAATGAAATCCAATTTATCACATATGCACATTAAACTGATGGTACTGAATGTGTCAAAACAAAACATATAAATGATGGAAATAAGACAAATATACTAATCACTCAGTCTCAACTTCTTATACTTTTCCTCTTTTTGCTTGAAATCTTCATCAGGTACATGTAAACTGCAGTGCCTTGAGCAATTCATTCAATGGAATTGGCTTTTTTAACTCGATACTTGTATCACTGTATCCCTTCTCTGATATTAACTTTCCTACGGATGAGATACAAAACTAATCTAATGAAAACAAAACCAATGCTATCATTTGATGATTCTTAATATCTTACTTAACAGAGTTGATCAAATATGTAATGCCTCAGTCACAACGGACACCAAACCAACTTATTCTTTGCCATTAGAGGTAATGTAATGTCTTGTTCAGTCTAATGTCGGTCACAAAGACATTCAGTAAAATACAAAATATATAGAGGGGCCTGTAGGTGTTCTTGAGGGGTTTTGGATGGCTCTACCCCCCTACCCCCCTGGAAAAAAACAACAAAAACAACTATTCGCGAGGCACATGTAGAACATGAATGCAAGAAGCCTAAAGCCCCACAAAGCAATTAATCTTCTAGTGCCGCTCCTGGGAAGGGCATTTGATCTATTAAAGCCCACTGCACTACTTATAGCTACTTGTGCCCTCTATATAGCAAACAATGTCTAATTGGTGACCATTTGTCCCCCATGATCCCCTTTTTTCTTATAAATGTTAATTGAGAGCTGATTCGATGAGATAACCACCCATCAGTGACCTTGCAGGGAGGTCTAATCCCTCCTGGATAAACTAGTGTAGACTGGCTTTATACACTGTACAATGGTAGAGTCTTTTTCCTCATCAGTTCAAAAGTCATAATTTTTGTTGCTTTCTAACAATCAGTACTTGTCACTGGCAGACATACATATTGTAGAAGGCTCTATAGATACAGAACATATAGTTTCATCTTGGTATAATACTACAAAAATTATATGACCACAAACACACACTAATTCTCCCTTGGGCTATGAAGACGCAACAGTCTGCAATGGTTCCTGTAGATATTCTGCTAACGATGATATCTGGAAATCAAATAATGACATAGAACAGAAGAGTCATTTAATTATTTTTCACAAAATCATCTTCAAACAGAAACAAAGATGCACCTTCATTAGAAATAAAAAGCATTTGATTGCTCTTTTTTAAAACTTCAGTTAATATAAGGCCTGCAAGAAACAAAGCCTGTGAGATAACTGACATTTACAATCTTGTATATTTGCGTAACATCAGAGCTATATGGATAGGGGAAATAAGTTTGAAGCTACAAATTTATGCCCTACTTTTAGGTAATCCACTTTTATAATCTACATAATAACATGACTGAAACATCCATATTATTGGGAAAACAGTTTGAATTGCTTATTGCTCTTGATGATAGTATTTGAAAATAGTATTTTGGGGGAAAGAGCTCTGAAAAGGAAACCACAACAATAACAACAACCGTAACACATGGATACCTTTTAAATAACACATTTTAATAACATTTTGATAACATTTTCAGATAAACAAAATTATTAAAAATTCTTACCTTTTTCTTTAACATTCCAAAGCCTACCGAGGATTCCGCATGGATGCATAACAGCAAATTAGCAACTTTAGTGATTGCAACTCTTCCATTCTGGGGGAGAATAACACATGATGCAACCATTGGGAAAGAAAAACAAACGGATCATTTTGACAGAGGTTCAATCTTGATATCTTTCCAATATATTTATTTTTAATTGTTTGAACAGTTGCTCAAATTAAATGTGGAAAATGATCCTATTTGTATATAAGGAAGAATTAAAAATGACAGAAAGAACAGTCAATCCTTTAAAATTAGTTAATTGAGCTGTTTAGATAATATTATTTTGAAATACCTTTATAAAAGTCTGAACAGCATCTTGTTTAAAGAACTGTTCAAACATAAATATCATTTACATGTACTTGTAATTGAAAACGAAAACATTTTGTCTCTTAAACATGAAATAATATTTTTTTTTTTGAGGGGGGGGGGGGGGGGGGGAGGTTCCTTTTTTAAATAACTTAAAATCTTTCTTGAAAGATTTGGACCCTTCTTTCTCCGACATAGTCAATTTTCAGACAATTCAGCAAACACTTCATACTTTTTCCTTTTCCTTTAAAAACTGAACCCATCTTCTCTAGCTCTTACCTCACAATCCATGAGCACAAGTTTAAGGTCATCCTCTGTAAAGGCCACCTTGCCATTTTTCTCATACGCTGCCCAAATGTTGCTAGCAATGGCTGCTGTTACGCGGGCATCTTTGTCTCCGTAACCAGAATAGGCAAGAAGGGAGCCCTCATTGTTGAGCAATCTGTAGAAAAGACAAGTTTCATACTTTCATCTTATTATATATTCTAAGTATTTACCAATCCTGGCATCATGATCACTCTTTATCAGATATTTGATAACGACCAAATCTATAGGAACTGTTTTGGAAGACCTTTCATTATTAAAGTTTCATATGTCCATCATTTTGCAGCAATAATTTAAAGTATTTAAAAAAAAGAATCCACCATCTACTTTTCAGTCTCTGATATCGACGGTTGTTCCGTTGAGATTACATCTGGCTCCTCTGACCCTCTCTATACATGTGTATGGGGCCCGCAGGAAGAACCGCATTCGTGTTCCCAAAATGTCCAGTAAAGACTAAGGGGTACTTTTCTCGCACCAAAGTCCGACTCGTAATACACAAAAATCTGGCCCGTATTGACTTTACACACCGGACTAGGGTGTTTTCAAAGGGAGGGAACATGCATACGCATGTTGAGTGGGGGGGGGGGGGGATATGGGGAATGTTGACAACTGTTAGTTTTATTACCACTTTACCAGACGGTTAATACTCAGAGCTACCAAGTATCACGCATTAGGCGTGACCATCACGCATTCAGAGGGTCTGAAACGACGCGCCCGTAACATTTTGAAAAAAACGCTATACCTTATACGTGTGTTATACCCTCGCACGCGCGCTCGCGTGCCAAATCATGAAAATTATATCACGCATTGCCAATCTTTGAACTTGGCATCTCTGAATACTGTCTAAACTCATAACACTAGAAATCTACAGCTACACAGTCCTGACAAAACAATTATAAACGTGACGGTGACAATAACTTATTACTAACTGAGTGATTAATTTGACTACGATAGCATGACCAGAAACCTTTCCTTTTTTAATAAAAGGATAAAAATATATACTGAAGAGACACTGACCACTGCAGAGCTCGAGCTGACAGTCAGTCAGTGCATAGGCCTAGACCCTAATAAATAATCATTTCAGTGCAGTGCCAGTGGAACATTATTTAATATGCTACATAAAACAAAGATTTAGTACTTACAGAGAGCTCTGAACTCCTCCTGTATTTGCCTGGCTTAGGACTTGTGTTAGAGCCTTAGGTTTCAGCATTTTAGTAACGAGTTGATTAATTCTATCAATGAAATTAAGAGTTTTCCAGTGTTATGCAGTGCAGTAGACGCGGAGAGTCGAGAACATCAATGCAATGGTATTGTACACAAGAAACTGCAGCTGCAACTGATCATGTGATTTCATAGACTGTGCTCCTTTCTTTCATCATTAATTCCGCATTACCGCGAGACAACGAGGAAAGAGTCGCCTCGAGTAACCATAGAAATGTTAGCACATTCTCATATTTTGACATCGAAATGGAGACGGCAAATCACGTGCAAAACGTTGCAGAGTACGATTTGTATACAAACATCAGCTTTGAGGGGAAAAACGACGAAGAAATCAAGTCATGTTTGTTGGATTATTTGGACTCATGTATGGCAAACATCTCGCCATTTCTAGTGGACTACATATGGCAACGTGACTCCTTTCACCTGACTCCTGTAATTCCAGTTGCTCCAGGTTAGCCCCACACGTTCATGTTTTTGTGGTATCACTTATTTTGCAATGCGGGCTATGCGTGATGGATCATTGAAATGAATGATTTTTTTTTTTTTTAAAGAAAAAGAAATGAAAAAATGATATCTAAGTCGATTCTGGACTGGTGGTTAGTGTTTTTAACTTGTTCATCATCATTATTATGATGATATTGACATGATTGATGATGTCGGATGATGATGTCGGATGATGATGTCGGATAATGATGATGATGATGATGATGATGATGATGATGATGATGATGATGATGATGATGACGATGATGATGACGATGATGATGACAATGATGATGATGATGTTGACGATGATGATGACGATGATGATGACGATGATGATGATGATGATGATGATGATGATGATGATGACGATGATGATGATGATGTTGACGATGATTGATGATGATGATGATAATGAGTAATAATGAGGACAACGATAACAATGATGATGATGATGGTTTTATACTAATATTATTTTGTTCCAGTTATACCTTGTCCTTTACCTTTACCTGAGATTCTGGAAGAAATTATTATTAGGATTAATGATTTGGCATCATCTGATGCTGGGCGTGGAGGGAAAAGCAAACTTAATGTCATCATCTTCATCAACTGATTATCAACAGTGGCATCATCAGTCTTCATCACCATCGTCACCATCATTATCATGATCATCAACAACAAAATCATCATTACCACCATCATCCTCATCATCATCATCATCATCATCATCGTTGTCTGTTCCAAAAGAAATATTATGAAATATGTCCATGTTAGCCTAACTTCAGGGAGTTCCTTGATCATATTATGCAACAGATCACTGCATTGAATCATCTGGATGTGATGCTCTGTCAATTTAGGCTGTGGTTGGCTGTTATAAAAATTGTAAGTTGCAGAGGTCAAGAAATAAAATTCAGAGAAAAAAACTTGCCTTTCAGAATGTAGGATGACCAAATATCTCAGTTCACTATAATTTGATTACAAGAGACTCTAGGGGAATTGAAGGCTGTTTGTGGTACCATGATACATGTAGCCAGAGATCGTGCTCCTTTTATTAAACTCTCCCATGAGTTGAAAATAGACTGTATAGTGCATGGACACTCACAGACTCGCCTACATGTACATGTATTGTGGGATGTTGCTGCAGTGCAGTCTTCAAATGAACCAGGTTATCCTATCCCATTGATGACCACGTTGTTTATATGTCAGTCATAGTCGATCGGCATTTCAAAGTTCAAACACACAATGAAATATTAATTTTATGATTTTGTTTGCTTGTTTGTAAATGTACCCAATCTCAGATTCTCTACCACGTCTTCATGGTGTAACCGACTTTGGCGATAATATTGATGATGAGTGGTTTCTAGTGTTCCTTCTCTATCAACTCACAGCTGCCATGCCTGAACTGGTCGCAAGGTGAGAGTTAGTCTGCTAAACACAGACCCTTTGACACATATGAAGGGTTGTTCATTTTCATTGTTCTGAACTTTTGATAAGAAGGAAGAAATAAACTAAGTCTAATGATAGTATTTGTATATAATGACTGCTTTCAAGATAAGTTTGATTTAAATCATGTTTTATAACCAGTTTTCAAATGTCCAGTACTGGGGAGGGGGGGGGGGGGGGGGGGAGGGGGGGATGACAATACTTACACAAAAAAAAACTTTGTGCTATTTTATTTGTGATAATGTAAGACTGTAGGTGAGTAGAAAATTTGAAACCCACTCCTTAAAATTAGTTATGCCATTGCCACAATTCTGTGAAAAGTACTCTTCTCACAGTCAGTCAACTGAGTCAAGTACAAATTTTTCAGTATTTTTTCCGTTATTGTCCCACACAGGTCACATTTTAATTGCTGTCATAGAATGCTTGCATTCTTGAGGGTCTGAAATGCTATTTGTAGCGATTAGCAGAGTACTATGTTGCTATTAATCTTTTAAAGGCATGGGTATATTCTTAAATCTCTTTTGTTTTTTTCCTTGGCAGTGTTCATGATAGTGACGGTGAATTCTTACTGATTGAGGCTGCATACCATTTACCAAAGTGGATGGAGCCAGAGACAAGCATCAACAGAGTAAGTGAAGCACATATTTATTTATTTACAACAGCTCTTCCTTTTTACTTTTGAGAACAATGAACATGTTCATAAACAAAAAATACTCAACCAATGTTTTTATTATGTGGCCTGATTTTACACCTTCAAAAAGGACCAATCACTTTTAATCGTCATTGTATATCAGACATTCAGATGGTTGAGGATTATCAGGGATGAAGGGAAAATGGTTATTATAGCAATGTAAGCGAGAATGTAAACTCAGGATTAAGTTTGGTGCGTGTGTTTGCTCATATGAGTGTGTTGATTCAGGAACTCTTAGGTTGACTGTCTATTTAGAGTGCAATTTTAGTATGATATTGTGCAGTATATATGTTGTAAAGAAGAAGTATTTGAAGCTGATATTTTAAATACAGTCAGACCTGACTTAGTGGCCACCTCTCTATAAAGGCCACCTGTCTATAGTGGTCATGTATTTTTCTCCCTTGAGTAAGAAATCTATTATGTAGAACCTGTCTAGAAAGCCCACCTGTTTACAGTGGCTACTATACAGTACAAACCATATTTTAATGTTTGACCCAATTTAATTTCACAACTTTCTTTTATGACCATACCCATTTATGTTTACAGGTTTTTATCTACAATGGTGAACTACACATCATCCCAAAGCCTGGCAGCCCAGCTGAGCTAGCCTTCTTACCAGCAGGTGTTCCTTCTATATCCCATGCCGTAGAAGTAGTCCGCAAACATTCTCAGAAGACACTTGCCAAACCTAGCATCAGAGAAGCAGTCAGAGCTAGAGTCAATGAGTGAGTAGACCTTTACAACTAATAATAATAATAATAGCTAGTTCTTATATAGCGCTTTTCAGGACCAAAGGCCCTCTCAAAGCACTTTACAGATATATATAATGGAATGGATATGGAAGCATTCCAAATTTCCAACCAGGCGTCATTTTTACAAGCTCACACTTGCTAATCTAAGCACATTAGCTTTCACATCCTACCGGGTACCCATTTAACACCTGGGTGGAGAGTGGCAAATGAAGATCAATTTCTTGCCAAAGGACATTAGTGCCGCGGTGGGACTTGAACCGCAGACCTTGTGATCACAGTCCGGTGACATATCCACTCATCCACGGCACCTCTAAATCCCCTTTTTTACTAAAAATTCTTTACTAAAAATCCTTTTATCATTTACAGATTTCACATCAAGTGCACTTCACTTCTATAATGAAATTCACTCATAAAACACTCTGAAAATTGTGATTGTAATTTATTGAAATTTGTTGTCCAGACATCTGGTATTGCATTGCACTACCGGTATGTATATTTATGAGTTATGGGCTTATATACTTAAAACTAAAATCTATAGTGAAATACTAACATGTAAGTTGATGTTGGCTTCTGCAGAGATTATTCTTATGATTAGGTGTGTGTGTCTTGGAATGCAAGCTGTTATTTTGCCTGGGAAAATATCTCTTCAGGCAAAACAAAATGTACATGTGTTCACTTAGGGACGTTGCGCTTCAAACATTTTTTGTTTATGCATTGTTCCTACTATGTATTATATATCAATGTAACCCGCTGTATTCTATTTTCTGTAAACAGTTATTTTACATGGTGAATAAATAAAACAAACAAACAAACAAACAAACAAACATACGTATTAATTAAAAAAAACACATTTATTATTATCATTTATAATTTTAATTGGGTATTTCCTAAAATGCGAATATTAAAGTCCAAAACTAGCTGTAACACAAAATGATGAATAATTTGTTAAAACAATTCATTAGGCTATTAAATTGGCAACCCTGTGTGAATTGATGTTGCAGATTCCCTGCCAAAGTTCAGTCCAACTTCCACCACACCCACTGCTTGATGCCAGCCAAGCTAGCAGCCATATTGAAACACCAGCCAGGTTTAATATCACCGGCAGTCGAGGCCTTCTACCAGAGAGACCCTATAGATTTAAAGGTAAGACGGTCTTAAGAGCGTGCTGCAGCTGGAAGTTTTCATAATTTTGTATCTGTTAAAAGAGTTTATCCAATAATGAATGACTTTTTTAATAGGACGATGCAAGAATATCCGGCAGAAGCTGCTATAATATAGGACTAGATTTAAATGAGTGCAATTTCAAATTGAATGCATTGTATCCTTGTCTCTTCCTAAAGAAAGTGTTCAAAATCCTTTTGTAATTGTACAAACCTTGTTATTTATTCTGTTTTACACTCGTATGCACTCAATTTAAGAAAATCTGAAAAGAGGCATTTATATTTGTAAATCATGTACTACCTTTTAGCTTCTTAGCGCATATTCACATTTAATTCAGTTCTATTAAACAGACATCTTGATTACCTTTAATATTTTCACGCACAGTTTGATACATTTAGTCGCTTGGGGGGACATTAGGATGAAAGCACATCATCCTAATAACATTTTAGTTCTATATTCAGAGAATTTGCTAGTAAATATTTTTACAAATATTTGTGTGTTACCAAGATATGCAAGTGGAAAAGTTCAATCATTATTTAAACATATTTTTATTTTATTTTTCAGGCTTGCAGGATAATGAAGCGTTTTGCCCCAGAGAATCTAGTTACATCTCAGGTGAGTATTCAAATAGGTCTTATTACTATGGTTGTTTATCTCTGTGTAGCATAGTTTTAATAAACTTTATGCATTGCATTATTCTTTATTGTTTTTCTTTTCTTTAGTATCCTATGTTATTATTTGCTTTATATTTTTGTTCTAGTTCTTAATTTTAACTTTTTTTTTCCCCTATGCATTTGATATGAACATGAATATGTTAGTGGAGCATTGTGGTATATTGGTTCAGTTATTTGACTCAATCTAAAGGTTGAAGGTTGAAGTCTCTGCCTGAGGCATATGTCCCTACTCCCTAGACAAGGCATTTTATATACGGTTGTCACTCTTTACCCGTGTAAAGGTCTAGCAAGATTTATTCTCATGGCAGCTGGAGTTAAAACTATGGTAATATCCAAACTTCTTTGGAAGTGAACCATAGGATATGATATATGTACCACACAAAAAAGGTTACTTGTGCATATTCATAATTTTATTTCTTCTTAAATTCCAATTGCAGGTTAAGTTCACTCGTTGCCTGTATGCTCAGCTGGTTCAGCAGCCATTTCAACCTGATCGTAGGAGTGGCTGGAAGCTCCCATCACCCACAAGTTCAAAGTTCAAGTCCGCTGATCTTGGCATGAAACTGGTAGGTTTCTATATGAATAGGAATTTTGGAATAGAGATGAATTCTTGTTTTTAGTTTGGTAGACTATGCTGAAATTATTCTCCATGAATAAAAATTAAAAAATCGAACTGTACAGTCAGTTTTTTCTATTTCCAATAAAGGGATAAGGAGCTTCAAATTTTTATCTAGTCTAAAGTTATATTGTGCAGTGTGCAATCGAGATTTTGGAGGTGGTTGCATGCTCATATAAAACATGCCCAATATTCACTAGTTGTATAGAGTACCGAAGCTGTGACGTCATAAAAATCTTTTTTTTTAGAATTTCTCAATTTTGTCTTCATTTTCCGAAAGAGCATGAAAAATAATGTCCAAATGTCGAAAACCAATTGAATATGTTCTGGCTCCTAATGGTTAGGAGCCAGAGCATATAACACTGAGTTCCTGTAGGACATATATTTATTCAGATGGTCATATCTCCGCCAATACCGGTACTTAACATATTCAATTGGTTTTCGACATTTGGACATCATTTTTGATGCTCTTTCGGAAAATGAAGAAAAAATTGAGAAATTCTAAAAATAGATTTTTGATGACGTCACACTTCACCACTCTATTGGAAAAACATGTCATCTGTACAGAGCCAGAAGGGCATCTACTCTGTGTTAAAGTATATGAGTTAATGCCCTTCTGGCTCCAAACATGATGTAGAATATAGGTGTTAAATATGCATTCTATGTAAACTGTAGAACAAATATTTTTGTAATACAAACTTTTTTTCCTCCTCCAAATTTGTCTTTGTTTCAATTCAAGGCCCATGGTTTTGAGATTCTGTGTTCTCGTTGTCATGGCAACAGGAAAGATGCGGATCCACCGGACATCATTACCTCTGAACCCGAGGATCTAGCAACAGGAGCAAGATGGGAGAAGTTTCTTCAAAGTCTGACAGAGAAAGGATTCTTTAGGGTAAGCAAGTAAAAACTGGTTCTTAAAATTGAAAATTAATAAACTAATTTCATGGATTAAGTTTTGAAAAAAATCATGTTAAGAATTCCATCAATTTGAGGTTCAAGATTTATTAGGATTTCTAACTTGGTTGAGGGATACAAATGACACACTTAATTGTAATCAAATGCAAATGAATGAAACAAGAGTTACAATTTAGATTTACTCTGAAGGTTTTCACATTGAATGGTTGTTCGAAAGGAAATATTATGCTCAGAATTTTAAATTTGTCAGAATTAGGATTCTTATTTCATGAGGGAAACAGAGTTGACATTGTTTTTTTATAGTCAGGAATGAGGATTATTGACTCTATCCCTTCGATAATGATTTGTTGCCTTCTTGTTTACCTGTTAGGTGAAATAAATGAATGTTTGAACTGATTATACTCTTTGACTTTCTTATTTTTTCCAGGGAGAACTAGAAGGTTCCAAGCTGTACAACAAATTAATAAAATCTGCCAAACAGTTTTATGCTAGCATAGTCACTGGAAATGAACAGTAAGTGGAAATTGTGGAAATTTGATTTTTAAAAAATAATTTTTCTAATTATGCCTCCGCCACCGAAGGTGGTGCCGGAGGCATCATGTTTTCGGGTTGTCCGTCCGTACGTCCGTACGTCCGTACGTCCGTCCGTCCGTCCGTACGTCCGTCCGTCCGTCCCGTTTGACCGTTATCACAATATCTCAAGAACCATTTAAGATTTAAACTTAAGACTCGGGAATAGTATTTATCACCATAGGAAGACGATCTGATTAGATTTTGGAGTACGTAGGTCAAAGGTCACAGGTCACAGAGGTCAACTTATGAAATTCCTTGTATTGAGTTTGTTAGCGCGATATCTCAAGAACCATTTGAGATTTAAACTTCAAACTTAAGGATAGTATGTATCACCATAGGAAGACGATCTGATTAGATTTTGGAGCACGTATGTCAAAGGTCAAGGGTCACAGAGGTCAACTTATGAAATTCCATACATTGAGATTGTTATCATGATATCTCAAGAACCACTGGAGATTTAAACTTCAAACTTAGTGATAGTGTGTATCACTATAGGAAAACAATCTGATTACATTTTGGAGCACGTAGGTCAAAGGTCAAAGGTCACAGGGCTCATTATGTATGCAAAAACAGCTTGTGATCGCGTTATCTGAACAACCGATTGATGGATTCCTGCCAAACTTTGGTCATGTATGTATCTTGCAGAGCTGATGAACTGATTAGATTTTGGGGTCACGAGGTCAAAGGTCACAGGGCTCATTATGTATGCAAAAACAGCTTGTGATCGCGTTATCTGAAGAACCGATTGATGGATTCCTGCCAAACTTTGGTCATGTATGTATCTTGCAAAGCCAATGAACTGATTAGATTTTGGGGTCACGAGGTCAAAGGTCACAGCGCACATTATGTATGCAAAAACAGCTCGTGATCGCGTTATCTGAACAACCGATTGATGGATTCCTGCCAAACTTTGGTCATGTATGTATCTTGCAAAGCCAATGAACTGATTAGATTTTGGGGTCACGAGGTCAAAGGTCACAGCGCACATTATGTATGCAAAAACAGCTCGTGATCGCGTTATCTGAACAACCGATTGATGGATTCCTGCCAAACTTAGATCATTTATGTATCTTGCAGAGCCAATGAATGGTTCATAAGATCAAAGGTCATGGGCTCATTATGTATGCAAAAATAGCTTGTGGACGCATTCTCATTAGAACTGACAGATGGATTACTATTTAACTCAGGAAATCTTGCAGAGCCAATGAACTGAGTAGATTTTAGGGTCATGAGGTCAAAGATCAAAGGGTCATATATGTTTATGAGAAATTGCTTGTAATCACGATATTCTGAGAACATGTTAATGGATTACAATTGAACTTGAATTTGAAAAATTTCTTCCGTTTCGGTTTGTAAAATTGCTCTATGACGGAGGCATCATTTTCGACTGCGCGCAGTCGAATTCCATCTAGTTTAGGTTTTAAGGTAGTGTCGATTGATGCCAATTACCAACATGGGTCATTCAAAGAGCTATGCAATGATCGAAGCTAGAACGTGAATAACACATACAGGAATTCATAAGGCAAGAAATTAGGTTGCTACTGGGAGTGAGAATTGGGTGTTGGATGATTGCTATATAGTTTGCATTGTCCTTGTAATGCAACATACTAGACGAGTCGTTTACTTTCTATGTAAGGTAACTTTCTGTTTATGGTGTGGGGAAAGTTGATGTGATGTAATGTATCATTGTGTCATAAGGTGTCATTGTGTCAAAACGTTAGAAGAACAATATCTCTGTAAATTGCCAAAATAGTGCTGGTCCATAAACTGAGAAACTCAATTAAATGAAGGTGATACATCAGGAGTATGCAGTGCTAGTTACTGGTATCTGTATTACAAACTTAAATTAACTGATTTTAATGTAACTTACATTTTCAGTGGGTATTGCATCCAAGTATTCTCAGAGTAAACATTTAATGGTTTTCAATATACATCACAGTGACCTTTAACCTATTTTATTCACTCAGGACGAGTCAGTCATGGCTTGGCGAACCTGGTCATCAGATCATGAAGCTTCTTGAGACGGTCCATTGTGACATCACACAGCTGAAGAACGAAGAGAAGAATCTCCCAAAACCTGACAGTAAGTTTTGAGGGTTCGTACTCTTTATCAATTTCAGTTTGACCGACTTTTCCAAAGTCCTTGGAACAATTGTAGGATACTCCACCACAAAATTTGACCAAATGACGACTAGTTGACCAACGCTTCACCACTGAAGTTAAATCCATAGACTTAAAGTTTCTTAGCCAACAATAACTCTAATCCTAAGCTTACCTCTAATTCTAATCTTAATCCTGATTTCTGACCATATTTGTTAGCCATTAATTTACATGAACCCTGGAGGTGGAGTTTTCTCAAGACCATTTACTGGAGATGGAATAATAAAGGTGGTCATTAAGGTACTCTTAAGGACACCATAGGCTCCAGAAATACTAGAAAATAAGCATTTACTCTTTTATTTCTCCAAAAGGCAGGCGTTTGAACTTAGCAAATCCCTCTTTTTACCTGTGATGTTTAGTGACAGAGCATTCAATCTACTTGGACATGGTGACTCGATATTGAATGTTTAAAAAATGTAGATTTATGGAAGGACAGGATCCCACATGACTTCATCATGATTTCTTTACCACAGGTGATCGCTGGATGGAACTCGATTTAGAGGAACTGGACGACATGATCGCAAAGGCTGCTGGGAAGGCACCGCGATCGGCTGCAGTCAGCAACAAGTCTAAAGCAGCCAGGGGTCAGAAGTCAGGAGGTCAGACCGATGAGATGGACTTTGACCCAGGCAAAGTGACAGAGTCTCTGAAGTCGTTTGTGGATGCCGTCTCAGGGCTGAAAGGGGCCGAGTTTCCAGCAGGTGGGGGTGGGATGGAAGATGTAGCTTTTAACCCGGAGGAGTTTGAGCAGGCCATGAGGAACATCTTGGGTGAGTTTAATGTTTAATCAGTTGTTCTGTGTCTCAACTATACCCATTTACTGTGGAAAATCTCTCCCCATCATAATGGCATCTCTCTGTATATTTCTCTTTTGTTTCACTTTTCCTTCTTCATCTATAACTATCTCTCTGCCTCACCCTCAATCTTTTTTTTCTGTCTGACTTGCTAGTTAAGTTTTTATATGTATGAATTCTGAAAATTATTACATTACAGTAATGTTAAGTATTAGTCAGGGATATGATACAAATTTATGCATTTGTATAAAATGTTCCCCATAAATTTTTATAAAAGTATCATCAACAATGGCAATAATGTGTTGCATTCTTGTTTTTCATGCATGGTAAATGCGTTTGAAACATGGAGCTCCAGTATTAAGTTTTTTTGCATTATATATGATAAACTGAATTCCTCAAATGTTTACCGTTGTCTGTAATCATTGCCATTGACTTGTCAACTTGATAAATTTGTTTCATTTTGTTTTAGCACTAGATTTCCGAGCACCCAATACAGCCGATGACTCGGACTCTGATTCTGATTTAATGAGAGACAAAGACTACCAGTCTGGTGGTATGTAATCTTACCAAAGAAATTATTGATGTCACTGAAAGCATATTTTTTGTTGTTGTATCACTGTTAAAATGTGTCATTATCTTATTTTTTTAAACACAAAATAAAATTGTGAATTGATAGTTTCTAACTTGAATGATTTTGACATTTTAGCACCCCTATTGTGAGTATTCCAACTTTTAAGACATGTGAACTAGAACAATTTTGTGTTTTGAAAAGAAAAGAAGCTAGAATGATCCCAAGGAAAAAGAAAAACATCAAACTTAATGAATTGTTTTTAAGCTCAAAATAATGAATGTATCAAGCTACTTACATACCCTTTTTTTTATCATTTTAAATTCCATTGCAAAACTTCTTCAAATTCATGAATATATTTGATCTGCCACTACAAAGTGATTTTGCAAATTGTCTTTGATGTTATTTGGTAAATAGCAAAATACACTTGGAAGTAACTTGTCAAGTCCTTTACTGTTAAATTGAAGTAACAAACAATCGAGAGATGAGAGATACTGTGGCGCCTGAAGTCAGGATATTTACTTTTTAATTGTGTTATGTTTGTAAGATATAATGTTCCTTGTCAAGTTTTATACCATCAGTTTAGAGCAGGCGCGATAGCTCAGTCGGTATAGAGCAATGGTCTCGTAATCCAGTGACCTGGGTTCGAAACCAAGGCGATGCGCTTGTGCCCTTTGGTAAGGCATTAATCCTCATTACCAGGTCTCTCTGAGATGACCTTAAGCCTTCGGTCCTCTGGTTGCTTACTAACAAGCATTTATGCTTTCTTAGCAGTCAGGTAAAATAATCACCACTACCACTACCACAGTTTGAAGTATATTTGTCAAATCTTTTGCTACAACCAAATTGAGTTTGATTACCCTATTTCGCTTGTAATTTCCCATTATCCAACATTACCATTTAAACTACATTTGTACTTTCATCTCTGAAAAACAGACGACACAGATGATGATGACGAATACCACGATGCTGAATCAGGAGGATCAGGAGATGGAGGTTGTCATGGTGATGATGAAGGGATACGGGAGCTCATGGAGCAGATGGATCGAGAGCTGGCCAGGACGGAAGTGGGCAAGAGCTTTGAGAGAGAAGGACAAGCAAAGGATGATCTAGCGGTAAGCTTAAAGCCCCACTGTACTACTTATAGCTACTTGCGCCCTCTATGTAGCAGACAATGCCTAATCGGTGCCTGTTGGTCCCCCATGATCCTCTTTTTCTTATGTTAATTGAGAGCTGATTTAATGAGATAACCACCTGTTAGTGACCTTGCAGGGAAGTCTAATCCCCCTGGACAAACTTGTACAGAAGGGCTGTAAAATTGTCATCAACAATTAGTCTAGAATACAATTTGGTGGAGAATTGACTTCTGTTTTGTTTTTGTTTTTGTTTGTTTTTCATTCTTGAGCTAATGCTCAATGTTTATTAGAAGGGATTAAGGAATGGGCTTTTCCATTTTCATTCGATACATATGTAGAGGTACTCATTTTCAAGTATGACTAAAAAATATCCTGATTATTAGGTTGGTCTTAGATGCATTTAGGCTAGATACACCAGGAATTTTCTTGATATTAGTGATCATAATTAACACTGTGTAAATTAAGGTTAATGGTAGGAACTTGAACTATTGTTGTAGATCAGGCCATGTTTGTTAGAGATGTAGCAGTAGGTGTTCAGAGGTAGGGGTTGTTCAGTTCATGGTCTCGATCTCAAACCCAAGTTTTAATGCTACTTTAATGTAGACCCTCTACAAGTTTTTGAATACTTGACCCAATCCTAGTTTCTTTCATTCTTAAAACAGAGACATGAACCTTCGAATTAGATTAGACAGATGTTACTAGAATGAACATCAAATCATCCAGACAAGCGATGACATGTATAATCTAAAAATGTCTTTAAATGGGTTTAAAGTACCTCTTCTGACACCCCTTTCTAACCAGACTCACCCTACAATGGAACAGCCCAACCATGAGAATGGCATGGACACTCATGGACCGTCCCACTCCACGACGGGGAGAGACAACCACCAAGAGCTGAGGGACGATGGTGAGGAGGAAGATGATGAATACAGACCGGTGGAAGTGGATGTGAATCTCTTGAAGAACATTCTAGAATCGTATAGCTCACAGCAGGGGCTCGCCGGGCCTGCGTCTAATATTCTCTATTCGATGGGGGTCCATGTTCCGATGAATGCTGATGATGGGGACAGATGACCCCTAACCCCTGCTTTTGAATCAAATCAGTTAAGACGGTGCTTTGCGACGTAGGTGTCGCAGGGATGGAAGTATCCCTAAGAAAGAGGCTTTGGTACGCATAGGATCTAGAACCCTGACAGTTGTCCATACATGTCGATTCAGGAGCATAAGGACGATTTTTGAGAAATACCTTGATATCCTGTGTAATTAGCATCAAATTTAATAGCACTTGCATTACTGTGCTAAAAGAATTGTAAGAGATGAGGCATTAGACTGCTCTGCCACCTCTTGTAAGAAGATGCATTTTGAGGGGTTGGTGACACAAAGACGTAACTCCATTTTGGCCATTTTGAGAAAAAGTGGTGTATGTGTCACTGAGCTCTTGGGTCTTAAGGAGTTAAGTCTATGTTTCACTAGCCATTGACATCAATGGGGTGTTGGGTGGAGTTAAGTCTTTGTGTTTTCCTGCGAAGCCCACATTTTTCGGAACATTTGAATATCAAATACTCATTTTGGCAAAATATGGAGTTACGTCTTTGTGTCGCTGAACCCTCGATTTGTACTCTCTTGGGCCTGTGTATTCAGGGATGCCAAGAACTTGTATGTGACTTAGACAACCAGTGGATTTACTCCATATGTCCTCTATGTCTATCTGAGAACTGCATGTACTTACTTTTGAATAAATATCCTTCTCCTGGGCAGTACCATACAAATTTAATCTTTTCAATGCCACTTTTTTAAAAATAATCCATGAACCTGTTGGGCATTTTCTGACTTCTTCAAACAAGAAACAATAGATGTTGGGTGTTAACAATGTCATTTAAAGGTATAGACCAGTTTTGGAAACACCCCCTCTCAAAAAATGAAATGGAAGCTCTTATTACCAATCATGTGAAAGAATATGTTTTGACTACTACGTGATGATTGAAATTTTGCTGGGAAATCGCCTACTATTTGATATATTTGGTAAATTATCATATCGATCCGGCCTGGATAAATAACGCGAATGCACTTCAACATTGAACATTTGAGCATATATTTCTGCTCTTTTTGTGAAGTATTGCCATCTAAACCTCTGAAGGCAATATTGAATGGATAGTTTGCACCAAACACCCTTGAACCGCAATTTTACCACTACCAGTCTATACCTTTAAGTTGTTTTAATACTTGTATTACTCCATTATTTGTGTTAACATCTGTAATTTTAGGGGGATTTGTACCACCATAGGAGCAGAATCCTGTGTGAAAATCAAATTTATCTTTCCATTTATAACACTATATGTGACCCACAAAACCACCAAAAAGTTTCTAGAAAAGACTTTAGTTTAGGGTTGATTCTGAAAAAGGAGATTGTCAGCTTTAAAATGATATATTACTCATCACAATTGGATGTCCCTAACTTAATCAATTAGGGTAACATTAATTTTTAGAAACCTTATCTCATATCCTGCCTTAAGGCCGCATGCACGCTACTGTTATAGTGCTTTGTACACACGAGCACGCTATCGATTGGCTGCTTAATTCACGCGAGCGAGCCACAGCTTAATGTACAAATTAATGTGCAAACTCTGACAAAATATCATATCATTCCAATGAATATATATGGGTATCCAAGATTTTAAACCCTTCTTGTTTCAGTTATTTGATTAACATGACAATAAATAATATGCTTATGGTATACATATTAATTGGAATGTATTGATGATGTAAATTTTTTAATAATGATTTTGATGATTCCATATGTCACTACTTCCCAAACCCATGAAACATTGGTTATTAAATGAAATAGATACAACAAAAGTTACTGCTTGTACATGGGTGTTTATTCGTCTTCTTCAGACTTTCATTTGGGATAAATAAATAATACTTCCAGTATTAAAGGAAATGCATACTTTGTGTAAAAATGCAATCACTGAAAAATATTCAGAGGAAGTACTGATTCTAATAATCATCTGAATTTTTGTTTCTTGCCATTCCTGTAATGCTATGATGGATTTTTCAAGTCACTTCTGAAATAATCACAAGCCTGAAATAGTTAGCGCCTTTCACATTTTCTTTACGGTTGAAATTAGATTGAACGTTTGGCGCAGAAAGATATTTTTCATGATTTTTTCCCCCTCGAATACATGGTTATGAAGTACATGTTACTTGTACCTTTAAAAAATGGGAGGCGAATTAGCCTAGATGAGCGCCATAAACTTTAGGTGCATTCAATTCTCCCGAGTTTGCACGATAATTTTAGTTATAAAGCACAGCTTAGAAGCTATAGGGAAACCATCCATTTAAATCATCCATCTTCTTCGTCAATTATCTAGGATGGCGTTGGTTGTCTTGTACTGCCACGTCTCGAAACCTCCCTGTGGTATTTTATTGATGGTGAGACTAGTCACCGTGACTAATGGCTTGGACGTTGTCACTTGCTCCTTTCTGATGATGAATTGTTTAGTACTCCTGTAGCATCCGTTCCTGAACTCGGTCACCGTATCGGCATAACCCGATGGCCGCGGGATGGCAGACGGCGGACCCGTTCGCTTCTCCAATCGCACAGAGCTAAATCGGAGTTTCCTGACGTCGCTGTCACGTTGATTGGTAATCATTGTATGGCCATGAGGGCTGGGATTCTCGGAGTTGTGTTCCAAACACGGCTTGCATTGGACGTATTCTTGTTCCGTGTTATAAGGCACTTTTAACGGATGATCGGCAAAGAATTTTCCAAGAACATAGTCTTTATCCGTGTCCTGCATTTGAAGTTTCTTGAACAACGCTTTCGGAGAAGGTGCAGACCTTCGGCTATATTTTCCCCGCCGGCGCTCCCTCCTCATTTTGTCCAGACTCCAGTTGATGGATAGCTTGTTGGTGTCGAAAACGATTTTTCCTTGTGGCTTTGAACTGATGGGTCCGGCTGTGACGCGGTGCACAACGTCGATGTATTCCAGATTGGGTGAAAACGTCAGCGACCGTTTGGAGTCGGGACGCGTCGAAGTAGGGCGTTCTTGATCCGGGCTAATCCTGTCCTTGTCCTTAAGCAGATGACTGGAAGTCACCAGACAGCTGTGCAATGGAGAAGAGCTGTCACCCCTTTTCTCGAGTGCGCTGTTCACCGCATCTTTCCTCATCGTTGGTGTTAGCGAAGGAAGACGGACTGTTTGCGACCGCGAGCAATAGGACGCACGCACCGCTTGTAGCGAGGATTTGTAACCCGACATTTTGTTAGTTTCCCGCGTGAAATAAACCTCGCTGCATGGTGAAAACTGTTCATTGTCTTGCCGACGGCATTGCAAGGGTTTTCCCTCAACGGCCATCCCGTAATCGCCTTTCGGCTTCATTCCAAGCGTGAAGCGATTCCGTAGCACAAGCGGCAGGCTGTAGTAACTCGACGGGTACTTGACGATATCGTTTCGACGTCCGACCAGCAGCGATTCGTCCTTTCTTTTTTTCAGCATCGTCTCCGTCGGTTGACGTGATGGTGTCGGAGAGTTTGGCGGGTTGTTAGGCGTCGCGTGTGTCACATGACTCATAGTCACATTGCTCTCTTTCGGCTCGGTTGACCATGCGAAATCGAGAGAGACGTCGGGAGAAAGAGTTGGTTGTTTAATGGGACTTTCGTTCTGTTGGGCCAAGGTATCTAGGCTAACTCTGGATCCTTGATGGTGGTAGATAATCTCGCTGAGAGCACTCAAACTTGGAGCGTAGTACGTGAAAGTAATCTTCATAGGTGCACTGCCGTCCTGGAAAGATATTTAGATGAAAGATTGCCGATTGACCTTCTTGTTTGTGATATACATGTACATTGGTCAGATTGATATTCTCAAGATATTCCTAGGAGAGATTTCTGGAGATGAACAGACTGAAAGGACTAGACCCAGGCCGATCTAAATGCGTCCTCGTTGAAATGGAGTCAAACTGCCTACATTAGGGACAGTATTGCTCTGGTTTGTCGGAAGCAATTCAATTAAACAACGAGATCTCAGATCTCGACACTCCATCAGATTTTAGCCATAACAAATCAAGTTCACAAGTTATATTGTCACCTCGTCTGTGCGTCCCTCGAACTTTCAACTTCGCAACTGATAAAACTGTAGACCAGTATCGTCTTACGAGTGGCACTTTTAAAAGAAGCCAAGGAGAGTTTTCTCCCTCAGGCCAGCCAGCGATGGTGCAGGTTTATTTGTGGTCAAAAGATGAATTAACTTGGGAGAAATTAGAGACAAAGAAACAGATATGTTCGATGCGGCTGAAGATAGACTTTTCTCTTGCATATTTCTCTTTCTAAAGTTTGATGAATTATGTGAAGAGGCCGAACAACTGAAAAGGTATGGGGGGGGGGGGGGGGGTATCTGCAGGATGAGTACCTTCTTGTCAGACTTTCCCTGGTGTGTCGCTGTGTCGTTCCCTTGAAAGACTTCTGTGGTAAAAGAGTACAGCTTGCCTTCCTGAACCAGCGAGTAGTACGCGTAGAAAAGACTGTCGAGTAGGACGCCCTCTGTCACGCGGATGGAGCTGAACTTGCGCCATGCCACGGAGTGGACGAAAGTCCAAAAGTTATCTGAAGAGAGATAAAGGGTTTGTTCCATGCATCGAGAACAATATGATCAGTTTTCAAAGTAAATTCTGAAGGAAAAGATTTTATGAGGTCACTTGCTTTTTTTAATGATATTTTTTGTGTGGATATTATCCAATAGAGATGGCAAAAATGGCAAGGGGTAAGTTCATCGTTTTTGCCGGAAAATGACAGTCCCAACATGCCCTCAGAATTATGTTGATCCCCATTTTTTTTCTCCCAAAAGGGGCGTTAGGGCAAATTTGCGACAAAAATTCGAAAATCACCACTTTTTGGCAAAATGGCGAGGATAACCCCTTTGCCTTTTTTAACTAGCGTTCACCAAGTTTGGAAAAGTGTTAGTTCATCATTTTTCATCATGATATGCCCTTAGAATTATTATGACTCCCGTTTATTACCAAGAAGGGCGTTTGGGCAAATAGAAAAAGTATTCGAAAATTGCCACTTTTGCCGAAATAAAGAAAATTTCTCCGTTTTCTCACCATGATAGTCTCAACATGCCTTCAGAATTATGTTGATCCCCATTTGTTTCCCAAAAGGGGCGTTAGGGCAAATTTGCGAAAAATTCGAAAGTCGCCACTTTTTGGAAAAAATGGCAAGAGGTAGATTTTATCATTTTTGCAAAAAAAAATGACAATTTTCAATTGTCTTTGTTTCCACATCATGAAAGTCCCAAATTGCCCTCAGAATTATTATGAATCCCGTTTATTACCAAAAAAGGGCGATTGGGCAAATAGGCGAATATTCGAAATTTGCCACTTTTTGGAAAAAAATCATCATCATCATCATTTTTGCCAAAAATGTAAATTTTCAATCTTCTCCGTTTTCTCATCATGGTAGTCCCAATATCCCCTCAGAAGGAAATGCTTTTAGATTTATCGCCAAGATCGAAGTAGATCAATTTTAGATTCCTCAAGAATATCTTACTTTCCGTACATCATATCTTATCATCAATTAATTAGCTTTGAAAATCATCTCCACTCATGATCCGAAGTTACCTTCATTGAGTGTCTTGCTCGATTGGAGAACTTGTTGATCAAATCTCTCTCCCCAAATCAACGAAGTAGGCGGGACAACCCCCTCATATTGATCAGCCTTCAACTGCTTCATATCTTCCTCCAAGTTTCCCGATTGGTAAAGACGATGACTAATGTTGAAAAGCACTCGCTTGGGGCGATACTTCATAAAAACGCGCGTTTTCTTGAACAAGACATTGTCGGCCTCGGCAGCAGCGCGAACCGCCGAAGCTGCACTTTGCAATCCGGTTATTAAACGTCTCTCTGTATCGTTCGAAATGGTATGAGGTTTTTGGACTAAATATGCCATTTTAGGCCTATTTTGCCCCCCACCAAATTTATAAAGTTGCTAAGATATTTCCATTCATCGTCTATTACTATTTACTATACTATCACGGCTCGCATATTTTTGGAATTTTCTGTTTTCTATCCTTTGCTGAGAATATACTCAGTTTTGCTGTTGGCGGAAAATTTTTGCAGTGTTGATTGTCCGCTTCAAGCTTCTAGCAAGCTCTAGGTAACAGGTGCGCCTACGTCACAATACAGCGCGCGTAAGTTTGATATCGCGCATATGCAACCACGTCATAATGACAATGCGTGAGATCCCGCCCCCACCCCCCACTCAGCGTTATTTAGGGGATGTTCCCTCCTTTTGAAAACACCCCCTAAGTCCGTTGTGTAAAGTCAATATGGGCCTGATTTTTATGTACTACGAGCCGGACTTTGGTGCGTGAAAAGTACCCCTTTACCGGACATTATGGGAACACGCATGATATATATCCCTCCGTTCACGGAGTGGGAGGGGGGGGGGGGTGGGCAGGCGTGAGATGCAGTGCTTAAAAAGAAAGAAAAGGAAAAAAAAAAAGGAAGATAAAAGAGAAAAGGGAAACAAAAGAAACGGGGGGGGGGGATGAAAGCTAGAGAGGAGAGAGAGAGAGGGGGGGGGGGGAGGTATATATTAGCCTGAGAGAGGAGCCTGAGTGGGAGCAACAGAGAGAGGGTTGTTGTTGGATGGATTCGTCTCGTCGAGGGAGAAAGAAAGACACGGGTAAACATGTTGCTGTATCGGGTTAGCTGTGCCAATATTCTTGCTCGATCATCGTGTACTATATCAATGCAGAAGTTCGAAGCCGGTGAGATGTATATTGTCGGTCGGCCGACATGTTTTTTTCCCTGCGAACTGTGACTTTTTATCCGCTGTGACGACTTCGAGATTGACTACAACTACAATACTTGTATTTTCTCGAAGTTTCACTTTCCTATAATATCAGCTAAAGAAATCGGAGGTTTAAAATTTTCGGCGAAACTAAATTCAAACAAAGATTAAGAGTCAACAACGGTACTACGAATCGTCTTCCTTTCTCTATATTTTGATGAAACGCCGAAAATACCGCGCTTCGCGCGGGAGGGGAAAACTTAATTTAGACGAGTCGAGAACGGAACAACGAATCGTCTTCTTTCTCTAATAATTTAAGGAAACGTCAAAGCTTCCGCGCTAAAGGGGGAAACTTTATTCAGACAAGGATTAAGAGTAGAGCACGGTTCAACGAATCGTCTACTTCTCTAATAATTTAATGAAACGTCAAAACTTCCGCGCTTCGCGCGGGAGGGGGAGAAACTGAATCAGACAAGGATTAAGAGTCGAGCACGATTCAACGAATTGTGCACTTTCTCTAATAATTTAATGAAACGTCAAAGCTTCCGCGCTTTGCGCGGGAGGGGGATAAACTGAATTTAGACAAGGATTAACAGTCAATAATGGTACAGCAAATCGTCTTCTTTTTATAATAATTTAAGGAAACGTCTAAGCTTCTGGGCTTCGCGCGGGAGTTCACCCCCCCCCCCCTAATGAGCAGGCTTCGTGCGCTCTTTAAGTGGTTCGCTTGCTCACCGGCTGCCCCTTCCTAAAATAAGATCCTAGCTCCGCGCCTGCATTAAAATATATAGCTATGATGCTGACTAAGTTGACGAAATAATTCGTATATTTATGTCGTCGAGGAAAATAACCGTTTGTGCATACGCAAGTACTATAGATAATCCATAGGAAAAACAATTTAACCTTCGGCCCCGGGTTTATAGGGTTAAATTTGTATATATTAGGACATTTAATTTTGTCGGTAATTGGTGGCTAGTTTTGTCGGTAATTGTTGGCCTCTACACCCCCACCCACTAAAAAAGGTCCAGCGACGCCCCTGCATGTAGCAGCATAAAGAAAGCATGATTTCGAAACTCCTGTTTTGGGGTATTTTCCGAAAATCGCGCCGTTTTACTGTTTTACCTTCTTCTTTCCTTCATTTTCCTTCCTTTTTTCTCCCCTTTTTTGTCTTCACTTGGCCGTCAAAGGGGGGTGTTTAAACCGCCGAACCCCCCCCCCCCCTAGATCCACCTCTGGAGGTATCTCACTTATAGTGTTTTGAACGTCACATCCGGTCTAAAGTGACATCACCTCATATTTCTTTCTTATCATTTTCTTTTTTTAATAGCCAAGTTTAAACAAATACGAAAATATGCCTAACTGAAAATTTCGAATTGGGCAAAAAAATTCTGATCCCTTGCAGTTTTAGTACAAAATTCATGTTTTCATCTTTTCATGAAATTTTTCTAAATAGTGACATTTACCCAGGATTGATGAAAAAAAAATTGAAAATATACTCAATTGTTAATTTTCGATTTTAGGTCAAAATACCAAATGTTAATAACCCCTTGCAGTTTTAGTCAAAAGTTCATGTTTTCCACTTTTCATACAATTCGCCTAAATTACTATTTTTTACATGCTAGGGTCACGTTAATTCAGGATTGATGAAAATATACCCAATGATAATTTTTTGTATTTTGGGCCCAAAAATGCTGAACCCCTTGCAGTTTTTAACCAAGAAAAAAAAATCATAATTTTCACTTTTCATGAATTTTGCCCCAATTACTATTTTCGACATGATGAAAATATTTTTTTTGGAAATGAAAATATACATAAATTAAATTTTCGATTTGGGGCCCCAAAATACTGAACTAACCGGATCTTCTGCCATACTTACCCCAGTTGTCTTGGGGGTAGTTGTCCTAGTGGTAATTGACCAGGGAGTAATTGTCAGGATTGAATTGTCGGAGGGTATAGTCAAGGCGTTAGTCACATATACATACATTTTGGAGTTTATTTTGAAAATGTGGAGCTCAGGAGAACTATTTCTTTCTCTCTTCCTCTCCTTCTTTCCCCTCCCCCATTCTCTCTCTCTCTGTGCTTCTCTCTCTCTCTCTCTCTCTCTCTCTCTCTCTCTCTCTCTCTCTCTCTCTCCCTTCCCCATCTCTCTCTCTCTCTCTTCCTCCCATTCCCCTCCCTCTCCCCTTCTTTCTCTCTACCCCTCCTCTCCCTCTCTCTTTGACACCACTCTGCCTCTCTGGAGATCATTCTTCTTATCTTCTCAACACTAATCACCAATGACTCGGTAAATGTTTATCTTCTAAATGGTTTATCAGTGATTTCTTCCAATGTGGTATTATAAATAGTAAATCTTCATTCCTATATACAATGTAATTATATACACGAGATATACATCATATTTACATCCATACAGAGAAGAAAATTCATGGTGTAAACAGCATAATATACATTATCCTCATGGCTATTACACAAAGAAAGAACCACTCTCTTGGCAGTTTCTAACATATTATAGTTGCATTATTCCTTTCTGTTCATACTCTCAAATACAGAAGTCTAAAATAAATATATAAAAGTGGATTCTACGATCTTATTCTTTCCCAGAACGAGAAAAACAATTCAGATATTGAACTCAACAAAGCTGAAGGTATATAGGGATTTTCACACACTGAGATAAAGAGAACAAACAAAGACTTGTGTTCAGACTGTTCACATAATTCTATATTGGTCTCATATTAACTGACCATCAATGTGAACACAAGTACATGTAGCAAGGCTGACACGCTTTAACCTAATCACATGTACACTTTCTAAAAATATAAAAGTTCATCTTTTCATATCGGTTCCTTCAAAATTCACACAGTGACAATCTTGTCATCACTGTATCCTTACGACCAGTTCAGACCCTTACCGATAATTATAAACTGTAAACTATATGCGTACACCATATTATACTAATAAGGATTGTGATTGAAGTGGGCAGACCTCACCATTTTTTCACAACACAAACGTTTTTGCCTCGTTCAGATATGACATGGCAAACCATGTTTTTTTAATGATGCTGTAAAATGTATTATTTCATATTTTCTGAATCTGAAAACACAGAGCTTAGTGAATATGCTCAAGTCCTTTGTTGCACGCAGTTGCCATTAATTTTAAACGTTTTAAAAACGTGGTAGATTTTTCACTGCAGAGGTTAACCGTGCCATATCTGAACTAGATGGAATTTTGACTGCGCGCAGTCGAAAATGATGCCTCCGCCATAGAGCAATTTAAATAAGTTTGCAGTTTAAATCTCCAGTGGTTCTTGAGATATCATGATAACAATCTCAATGTATGGAATTTGATAAGTTGACCTCTGTGACCCTTGACCTTTGACCTACGTGCTCCAAAATCTAATCACATTGTCTTCCTATGGTGATACACACTATCATTAAGTTTGAAGTTTAAATCTCCAGTGGTTCTTGAGATATTATGATATGGTGATACATACTATCATTAAGTTTGAAGTGAAAATTCTCCAGTGGTTCTTGACATATCGCGATAACGATCTCAATGTATGGAATTTCATAAGTTGACCTCTGTGACCCTTGACCTTTGACCTAGGTGCTCCAAAATCTAATCAGATTTTCTTCCTATATTGATACATACTATCCTTAAGTTTGAAGTTTTTAAATCTCCAGTGGTTCTTGAGATATCATGATAACAATCTCAATGTATGGAATTTCATAAGTTGACCTCTATGACCCTTGACCTTTGACCTACATGCTCCAAAATGTAATCAGATTGTTTTCCTATAGTGATACACACTATCACTAAGTTTGAAGTTTAAATCTCTAGTGGTTCTTGAGATATCATGATAACAATCTCAATGTATGGAATTTCATAAGTTGACCTCTGTGACCCTTGACCTTTGACATACGTGCTCCAAAATCTAATCAGATCGTCTTCCTATGGTGATACATACTATCCTTAAGTTTGAAGTTTAAATCTCAAATGGTTCTTGAGATATCGCGCTAACAAACTCAATACAAGGAATTTCATAAGTTGACCTCTGTGACCTGTGACCTTTGACCTACGTACTCCAAAATCTAATCAGATCGTCTTCCTATGGTGATAAATACTATTGCCGAGTCTTAAGTTTAAATCTTCAATGGTTCTTGAGATATTGTGATAACGGTCAAACGGGACGGACGTACGGACGGACGTACGGACGGACGTACGGACGGACGTACGGACGTACGGACGTACGGACGGACAACCCGAAAACATGATGCCTCCGGCACCACCTTCGGTGGCGGAGGCATAACAAGCCCTTAATCAAACACTAAGGAATATGCCTCCATCCTTTTTTCTCTGCGACTGATGTCATTTTTGAAGGAGTCCACTTTTTGTTCACAGACACTATTATTGAGGTCTGGGAACATGAAGAAAAAAAGAAGAAACAAAAACAGTGGCCAAGCAATCCCAACTAGACAATAAGATAATTGAGGGATGCTCATCCACAGAAATAGTGGTCATTGGGTGAGTGATTTGGGAATGATTTTATCATCGTTAATCATTATTTATCGGTGAGGTCTGAATAGGCCTAAACAAATCTGGTTAAGATAACTAGGCCCGCGAAGTGAAAGATACGGTTTGAATATAAATACTACCAGATTCATAAATAGAAATAAATAGTATTGCAAATCTCGTTAAAGGTATGAATGCACAGATTGCACATAATGCTAAAGTGTATCACAATTCAGAATTCTGATCTGCCATATCTAGTTCCTGGGTTATTTTCATTTGAAGAAATCAATAACATATCCATTCAAATTAAATATAAGTAAAAACAAGCACAAAACTTTTAAAAAGAACAATAATCAGGACAAAGTGAATATTTTCCCTACAGCACAGGTGGTAGTTTCCAAAATACAAGGTATGCGAAGCAAATTTATGACTCTTATTTTCAACAGACTCCAGCAGTCTGTTTTGATGCAAACAAGTTCATGATTGTCATTTAATATATGAGTTTCTTGATTTAATCTTGTTTAAACTGCATGTGTGCCTTGAGGTAGATCTTCATTAAAACAAAAACTACAAAACAAGAAACTTTTGCAGCTAAAAAAAAAAATCACTGTCAATTATTAATTGATTCTTTTGTGGTGTTAAAGTTTTGTTCAATTTTAGCCAGTTACCAAATTCATACAAATTTCATTTATGCAAACACTTCTGGTTTTGCAGTATTCAAAATTCTTATTCATCTGTCATTATTGACAATGGTAATTTACTAAAAACTAAATGCTTGTGGAGTGCATTGAACAAATATTTAACATACAAATTAAGAGATTATTAAGAGAGGGGAAACTAAAATAGGGAACAAGACCGTAATGTCACAATTATCTCCCTGTACATGGTGGTCTATATCGAAGCACAAAGTAGAAATTTGGCACAAAATGTAATCCTGTACAATATAACACTTTATGAAGTAAAGTCATTGAAAAATGTGAGCACCTAAAATAAAACATGTATAAACCACTACTTTGAAAAGAAAGAAGATTATTGAAACAATTGTATGCATCTACCAAATTATTTATTATAAATGGTGGTGACAAAAGAAATTTCAGTATCCACCTTTGCGGTGTTTTCTTCTTTCTCTCATGTAGCTGATGTACTAGCCCCTCAGAGATGTACTTAAGCCTAACCAGTCAATTTATTGAAAGCCTGCCATCTGCAAGAGCTAAATAGCTGGAATTCAGAATGCAATTTATGTAGAGAAAATACAATTTGGAGTGGAGAATGAAACACTGCATGATTTTTGCATCTTTAAAACCAACTTCTTAGTTTTCTTTTACATTCATGATCCAACTATAGCTTAAAACCAGCCCCCCAAAACCATATCCCCATGGCAATGACATCAAGACATGATTTAGTAACTATCACTTTCATGGAATAAGAAACCCCTCATCACAGGTTCATATAGAACTTGAGAAAATCTTGACACATGATATAATAAATATAAATTTGGTGATTTATTGATCACTTTTGAATTCATGATATGAAATAAGATAAGGCTAAATGCACTCCCGTGCAACCTCTGAAAATATGCAACTGTGGAAACATTGTGTCCATGGAAGCAGAGTCTACGATTGATTGTGTCGATTGTTTCTACGAGTCTGTTTGCTTGCATAGCCACACACACATTGCGGTTTAAAAGTCTTCTTTCCTAAATACCACCTCTGATTTATTCTATATACACTGTACAGATAAGGGCACTTAACTAATTGTATTCTCGGTTGTGATCAACGTCAGATACAAACTGTGGAAAACAAAGTGGAACTCTGGAGAAAAACAGAACCACCATATCGTCGACGTCCCCATTCACATATGGCGTATTCATTGGCATGGCACAGTCAGACCACAACTGCAGTTTTGCACAACGTGAACGCAGTGACATGTTGAAAGGTATAAGACAAGTTGGCATGTCAAGTGCCCTACATGTTGAGCCATTGCCATATGGGGTGGCCCTGCTGCAAGGTTTAGGGCAACAGATTCCCAACGTATCTTTAGACAAACAACGCTAACATAGTTCCTACATATGCACTCATCCACTTGTTGTAATACTGACCAAAACTAACGCATGATCATTGCCAATACATACCAAATATTATTGCACGTAAAATCGTATATAAACAATGTATTTCATGAACTGAGCTCTCTTTAAAAACAGCCTCTGCTAATATCACCCACAAACATCCAAATCAGTTAATTAATCAAAAAAATAAACTCACATTTTTTTGCAACACAAACATGATGTCAGATAAGAATCATCCTAAAATATAGCCCATTTCTCTAGAACTTCAATGCAAGTGAATTCAAGTTCTGTCCATTACTATGGAGACTTAAATCTCTAAAGACCATCTACATGACATTGTTTGGATGACCACTATAGACAGGTGACCTTTCTAGACAGGCAGAGGCCACTTAGACAGGTTTGACTGTATATTGTCGGGTAGCTGTGGCAAGAAGGCCATAAGGGCCATGCATTGGCAACGGCACGAACAGCCTTCTTGCAAACAGCCGAAGACATGTATTGTCTACATGGAATGGATAGCGTACATTCTGCAAACCTTCACTCAAAATCATAATATTTTCTTTTCAAGTCTTTGGTGTTGCACAATTACATTCATCATTTATCAGAATTCCATATACCTACTTCATATTAGTGACGATGCATCACATCACGTATTAGAACTCGGTAGCTACCTCCAAGTAAGGCTATATCCAATATTCTATATGACTATTCATCATGACTGACTGCTTTAGAGACATGAAATTATAACATTGGAAACCAAGAACTTTCCATATATTCCGAGATCCATATTATCCAACACAGGATGCCGATTCAAGCTTGTCTGCTTTTAGAGGAACGGAAACTTTGCATTCTTGAAGGCCTACGGCAAGTGGATCTCACTTTCGAGAATGGGCCAGGGTGGAGGGCTAGGGTCCTTGTTCACTCATGCAGATACCGCTTTTCTGCAAGTGAAGGACACCACTCATGGGCGTCTCTAGATCTTAAACACAACCACACATGGACAAGATATGTGGTTCCATCACACCGTATAGGTCAGTTCTGTCCAGAGAGATCATGTACAGGTATCTGCAGAGTGGCCAAGACTGTAGGGAGTTCATCATCTGCGGCTACTTGTCTAACCTTTGACCTTTGAGTCCATTACCGTTGCCATGTTCACATCAGGTATCTTCTCATAGAAAGACTCTCTTATAACAATCGCTTAACACCCAGATGTACGTCTTCTGTAGAGACCAACCCTATCGCAGACCTGTACGCACGCAGAAGTATTCTCCTGAAGCTGTACTTCGAAAAAGAGCCTTTCCCTATCCTTGGCATTATCACAAACTCTTGTTGGGAGAAAAAAAATGATATACATATATCCTGGAGATTTGGTTGAGGCTATGAAGTCACTCTGTTTTACATAGGAAGTTTCAAAACAATGTATGACATTGTAAGTATTCTCCAATGGCAATACGCAGCAAAATCCTGGAAATGTTCTTCACTTTGGCAAAGATGGCACGTGGAGGATGCGACCGGACTGTCAACGCTATACAGCCGTCGACGGACCTACATTGAGGACAGCTCTCTCGGAGTCTTTAGGTCGGACAAACAACTGTCCTTTAGTCCAAGGGTTCTGGAGCTGCAGCGGACAGAAGTCCTCCTGCAGAGTGTACTCCTTGTTGGCAATGATGGCTACCAGGCAGAAGTGGGCACAGTCCTCGGGGGAGAAGGCGGGGGTCTCCATGCCACTGCTCTCCATGGCCTTGTTGAGCTGCTGCACCACCAGGCTCACTATGTCCTCACATGATGTCTTTGATGTCACATGGAGCTGTAAAGAGATTAAAAAGATACACGATTTAAAATTAAGATGCACTCAGACGTGGAATGCTTAAAGTTGTCGGCTTAAACATTTTTGATAACGGCAGCTTTTCAGTTTGTGACAAAATATTTTTTTGCAAAGGAAAGGCTGTCATCAAATAAAAAGCAATTTGTGCTTTATTCAAAACAAATGATCTGATATACGATAAGATTTAATGATCCTTAATACCACATCTGCTCGACATCGCTGTCCTTCTTAGGTTAATCCAATCTAAGGTTACGCAGTAGTATGCATAAAAGCAATTTATATGACAATTCATGGTACCAAAAAAAAAATATACAAGTATTTTTCTAGATGGGGCTGTTCTAACCTTGACACTTGTTCCTTTGGCAAGACCTGAGTTGTAGGCTGGGAAGACCCTGAGAATGCCTGACTTGAGAGTGTTATCTGCTGCCCTCTCTACCGGTAGTAACATCGTCTGGCATCCAATGCTGCTGCAGGGAGGGGGCGGTAGGAGGGAGTGGTTCTGGGGATCTGGATGGAGGAAGGGTAAATGAAGATAAGAGAGATGGTTAACAGTGTGCCACAGGAGAGGGTAGTATCAACGACAACGTCCTCTGATGACCGGCTTACAAATCTTCAAAGAACTCTATGGTTAAAAATGTTCACCAAAGCCTCGTTTAGATATGATGCGGCAAAACTTGTAACACAGAGCTTAGTAATTATGTGCTAGACCTTTGTTGTGTGCAGTTGCCATTCTGCAGTTGTTCCAATAATTCTATAATGATAAAAATTTCCTAATATTTATACATAACACCTTATCAAATTAATTTTTCCATTTACACAATCAGAATATGAAACTTATTTTGACAAGACAGATAAAACCGATAGCTATCAATCTGAACACCATTATTTATTCAAAGACAGATCTTTGCACCTGATCTCATCCTGAAGATATGATAAAGCCACCCCTTACAAAATAATGATGTGACCCACCTTTCATGCACTCCGTGAAGGATGCTAGAATATCCTCGGAAGCATCCACTGGTGATGGGGGTGGAGCATAGAGTACAGAGAGAGGGACTCCCCCTTTGATCTGTTTGTCTCTGGCATACTGGAGTATATCCATGATCCAGCGCATTCCTCTCCACATCATGTCAAGTGACTGTAACAAGAACAAGGCATTTCCGTTCAATTAAATTCCCTTTTGAGTCTTAAGTTTGAAAATACAGGAAGTAACCACATTATCTCAATATTTTTAGAGAGTCAGTGCTTTACAGAGTGATTTGAAAAAATTCTTTACAGTTAAAAATATATAAAGTTTTCCTGTGTATTAGAAATTTTTGTTCTTTTGATAAATCATTACAAAAATGTTTAATCAGTAAATCTTTTACTCAAAACAAAAAGACATGATAAAATATTTAACAGACGTTTCACTTAATATAGGTTCTGTAACAACCCTATACATCCTCTTAGCATCAAGTATGGATGACTTGAAGCCTATCTGCAGTAGTTTGGCCTGGAGGGATTATACCTCCCTGCATGGTCACTGACAGGTGGTTATCTCATCAAATCAGCTCTCAATTAACATAAGAAAAAAAGGATCGTGGGGGACCAACGATCACCACTTGGGCATTGTTTGCTATATAGAGGGCCCAAGTAGCTATAAGAAGTGCAGTGGGGCTTTAGAGTAAGCTTTCCCTCTCTCACCTTCTGAAATTCCTCCACTTGCGTCTGTCTCCGCTTTGCTTCATTCAGTTCATCGTTCGAGAAGGCCTCCCTCAGTTGTTGCTGGGTGATCAGGGACTCTGTATCGAGGATTGAGGAAAGCCTTGCGTAGCGGCGGATGAAGTCTCCATGATACGTGCTCATGTGTACTGTGGACAACAATTTATTTACAAAATGAATTACACTGTTTCATATGAACCAGCATTTTTGATACTCCAAAAGTGACTAAAGTCAACCCTGATTTAGCGACCACATGTCTATAAAGACCACTTTTTATATTTATTCCCTTGAAAACTGTTTCTCATTGAAAGCAGTAATAATGAAGCCTGTACATAAAAACACCTGCCTATAAAGACCAAATTTTTGTCTCTCTTGAGAGGTTTTATTGTGTTTTCGCTATGTTGTGGGCAGTCTACATCACCTAAACATTGCTTAAAGCTTGTCATTTTCTTTGAAATCCAAAGTAGGCTTATGCATTTCATAAGTCAGATATCACAGAGTGATATTTGTATCAAGATAAACGAATGACAAAAATACATGTTTCTTTGTGATTAGTCACATCCTTACTTCAAGAAAAGAGGAAACGTGCAGTATAGCGCATAATACTAACTTTTCTAAGAGCTAAACTATCATCACACTGGCAGTGATAAGTATGTGACCACAGTCTTTACCACGGTCTCACAAACCAAGATTTGTCACTGTCCATGTATAAGGCATTATATCCTTCATTAACCTTTCCCACAAACAAAACACACCGCTAATTAAATAGGTAATGTTTACCCCGATCATTCACTGACAAGCATAAACTTTCCTATACACCATTCCAAGAAAGCAGCAACAAAATTTCACCGCCGTATTGCTCACTATATATCATCGACAACCGAAATAAAAAGTGCTAATTAATGGCTCCCCCTTCATGCAAACCTTGCCAACGAGACAAAGAGACAGGAACTATCAACACCTGGGACCCGTTTCACAAAACTTGTCATCAGTGACAAATGACAGTTTTTGTTAAAAGCTACTGAAATCCTTGCTTCTGATTGGTTACCAGCAGATTTGTCACTGATTTTTGTCATTTGTCATTGAAAAAAGGCTTTGTGAAACGGGTCCCTGGAAATGAAGAGATGCTAGACTTACTCATTTCAAAGACCGGCACTGAGATCGACGTGAAATCCCTGCTGGTGATCCAGTCATCGGATGGTGTCCCCGGTCCTATACATACACTACCCAGAGGAGGGAGCAGCAAAATGAATGAGACCTGTGCCAAGAGGAAACAAGAATTGGGTTCATTAATGATGCCTTTAAACAGAAGCAGATATAAAGAAGCACATTAACGTTGCTTTATACATGTAGCATATAACATACATGTATCACAACATTTTGATTGACAAAATAGATCACATGTAAATGAAAGAAAAATCAAATGATGACATGGATATCTGCACAAAGCTTCAGAAACATACCAATGCTGATTACCGGTACATATGCTGATTTGATAACATCCTTACTAACAATAAAAATTGTATTCATTATCAATCTGAAAATAAGCTGAATAATACAGAAGAGCAAAATAACACCCAATATTTAGATTAGCAATCAAAACAGGTGTACGGAACATTGAGGAGTTGCCAAGTAAGAAAATTCAACTCACCTCACTGCTGAGTTCAACAACCTCTAGGTCGCAAAGTCTGTGGGTGATAGCCTCCTCTTCGGTGACCCCTACCCGTGTCAATAGCTTCCGGGTCGCCGATGCAAGCTGGCGCTGGAAATCTTCCTGTACCCTGGTTGCTTTCTTCTTCACCTAAAACAATCCAAGAACATATATAGTATACGATTAGCACCACACCAATAACAACAAATTATTTTGTTATGTATGTTGGTAGTTCCATACCGTAATTCAAAATATGAGCTTGAAATATAACTTTGAAAAGAAAAGAGATTTTGCATAAAAAGTACCCTGCGAATAGACTACTTAACACACCTGTAGCACACTCTCATATAAAGACCTTCAGATTTTTTTCCTTTATTATCCATGACTTTCCATAACTTTCCAAAAGAGATTATTTTTCCATAACTTTCCAGGATTTTTCATGACCGTTGGAATCCTGAGGCATACTTAGGTGCTAGCTTAGCAAAATGTAGGTGCACAAAAAAAGATGCGTCTGGAATGCATACTGCATGACAGTTGAAAATCATAATTTAATCACACAGAGAGAGAACCACATCATTTGGATATGGAGCTGGTAAATGCATATACCATCTCGATAAGTCTTAAAGCTAGGTAGCTAAACTTTCATTCAAATACGTAAAATAATAAAAATTTAATGGACAAGCATCACCAAGCATCTGGGCTCTGTCTTACAAAGAGTTGCGATTGATCCAAACCAATCTCAATTCCTCTTATCAATAGCAAGTTTGCAATCTCCTATCTCTTATATACATAGTTGCGTTTGATATCAATCGCAAATAAGTTGCGATTGATATCAACTCTTTGTAAGACAGGGTCCAGATGCTTCTTTTCGTGTAATTACATTTTTCTAAGCTGTATCACAGCTATATATTCTCACTCTGCTTAATTACCTCACACTTGTCCAGACTGTGGAGCCAATCCCACTCCTCCTGCGAGACGTTGTAGTTATCCCTGACCTTGATGTGGGGCAGCATGCTGGGGTGGCGCTCGGGCACCTGGATCCTGATGTTCCCCAGCGAGCTCCGGAGCTTGAGGTAGCCCACATAGAGACCCCGGGTCAGGGGCAGGCTGCTCACCTGGTGGTGGATGATCTTCTCCTGATAGAAGAGGGAGGGATGATGGTGGAAGAATGATGAATAACCATGGTAACACAATCTTTAAATCCCAACTGCACTACTTGGTCGCTCTATATAGAAAACAATGCCTAATTGGTGCCTGTTGGTCCCCCATGATCCTCTTTTTCTTATGTTAATTGAGTGCTGATTTGATAAGATAACCACTCGTCAGTGACCACGCCGGGTGGTCTAATCCCTCCTGGCCAAACTAGTACAGACGGGCTTTAACATTTGCATAGATACAATGAGGTACTAGGACCAGGATAAGGATTCAATCAACTGAATTCAACTAAATATATCATAATCATGTTAGGTTTTGAGAGGACTACTTTCCTCTAAAAAGAATTACTTTTGCACCAAACTCTCTCTTCATCCCATTTCCAGATAGAGAAGTCCATCTAACACATTTGTTGTTCTCCCCATAGAAGGAAAGCCATTTTAGTCTTTGAAACCATTACTTTGATTCCAAACTCCATCCATCCAATAACAAGAAATCCACTTGAGATGTATCGCATCAGAGGTCCCTATAACGACTCTTCTTTCAATAGACCAAAATCCTAAGCCAAATCTTATTGACTATATACGAATATCCATTTGAACGCTCAACATGATAATGACCTCCAGAAGGAATTAGACATGCAAATGACAGGGATCTTGTCCAATGGCAACCGGTATTGTGAGGGATGACCCAAATCTTTACTGTGGTCACAAAAAGTTTAATGGCCTCAATTTTTTTCCTTAAATTTAGTATCACAGTCCCACTTACTGGTAATGACGTAAGTAGCAGATCTGCAGCCACTGGGCACTCCACACTCATTGATTTCCTCTTCTGGACTCTCGTCATACTGACCCATTTCAGCGCTGCATTGTTTATTGTCCTCGGGTCCTAATCAAACAAAAAAAAATAACAGAATTGAAAATATATATAATTAGATTTTTATCGTTGTCTGCATGTTGGCAAATTCTTTATATAGCAATACCGGTATAAACTATCAGCTAGAAAGTAAAATTGATGACAAGGCTTATTGACAGCAACAAAAATATATACCTAACTATTTTACCAAAACTTCAATTAAAACTTCATTATACAAGGTGATACAAAAAATGGAGAGTGTCTACTTAATACATCCAAACAAAAAAATCTTTTTTTCTTCTTTAGGGTCAGAGTTGAAGGTTCATTAATACCAGAAATGACTTGTAAAAGAGAATAAAAATACCAGGAAGAGCTCATTTTCAACTCGTTTCAATACAAAATTATACAAGTTGACACAAAAAAAGGAGAGTGCCTACTTATTACATCAACAACAACAAAATTGTTTTATTTTGGGTCACAGCGAAAGGTAATAAATACCAGAAATGACTTGTAAAAGAGAAAAAAAAATACCAGGAAGTAATCATTTTCAACTCATTTTAATACAAAATTGTCCCAATTCCCAAGACTTAATACAGGGGTTACCTGTAGGCAATGGAATACAAGAAGCATGAGGTACCTTTGTTAAAGATTGAATTGAATTTCTTTATTGTCATGCACAAATCAAAGGAGGCATGAAAACTTGTCTTACGACTCAAATTTGTAGAAAATATAACATTACATTATCATATCATAAACAAATAACATAAATAATATAACAATTTAATTTACCTTGACGCAGTTGATGAGTGTAAAGATAACGATCCCTTGGCTGTCCTTGACCGGCTCGTAGTAGAGCTTGCCCAGGTCCTGCATACCCATGATGCTTTGCAACTGGGCAGCGGCCTGCAGGAGGCGCCCTCTGAAGTGGACGACCGGTGAGGCTGCCGTCGACTGGGTCAGGTCAGTTCTCAGGAGGTCAACATCCTCCCATGTTTGGGCCACCTTCAAGATTGAAAAAAAAAATAGAATTTTGTTAAAATGTTGCAAATGCAATTCACTGTAATTCTCATACTCGAAATTTACAAAACAACAAGCAAAACTACATCACATGGCATGATTTTATATTCCCAATAACATAGCCTCGCCCATACCCAAAGACCCCCCTACTCCATTTTATAAAACTAATTGTTATCTATAACAAACTGCTAAATTTCTATGACAAATTTGCTCTCAGCCAATCAGATGCCATGATTTCAGTAGCTTGTAACTTGTTATTGATATCAAGTTAATAGAAACGGGGGCCCTGTCTTTCAAAGATTAATGTGACCTTTGATCTTACCTTCATGAACCATAGGAAGTCCTGTTGGACGTTGCTAGGGAAGTTCTCGTCGACCTCTATAATAGGCAGGTAGTCCTCCGTTGTCACAAGAACCTTGTCATCGTTGTAGATCACTGAGGCTAGGTATACGCCTCTGCAACGACAAAAATATAACACCACCGTTACTGATAAATGGAGACTAATTCAGTACACGTCACCGCAAGGTGAAAATAGAGTTATTTGAAAGACAGAGTACCGGTACACACCTATATGACCACAGAAATACCGATTCTAATTAAAGAAATTAAGACACCAAGGAAAGCTGCAGGAAGCTCTACTTCAAGAGATTAATTATAATTAGAGTCTGGGCGTTTCAAAGACTAATGTCTTTGTTTGAGGTAATTGAGGTTTTTTTAGACTGCTTCATGAAAAGTTTTAAAGTACATCATGACATGGACCACTTTTACGTGCAAGAAATGTCATCATTGGGTCGATCGGCGATAGCTGCATATGGCATAAACAAAATTGAATCCTCATTGATCCGTACAACACTGACTTCTTGCAGTTCATGAAGGTTTCTGCCTAGCCCGCCCTTTTAACAATCCATGAAAGTTTCTGATTTTAAAAGCTGTACATGTACCTCCGCGACCAGATAAATAAAGTTGTTGTTCTAGACCATGGGATCGGAGGGAAGGTAGACATGGATCTCTGTCACCACAACAGTAGAGACTCTAATTAATGAGAGACCACATTATGGCTGTAGGAAGTTTGGTTTAATTGCCCCAAGTTTAGTTTCATTGTGATTTAAAGCCTTGGTGTCAACCTAATGTCTTCTTTTTAAAAACAACGGAAGGTAACAATTAATTAGACATCAAGAATGCTAGCTCTCACGGAAGTTACCGGAACTTTTCTAATTGCACTGAGAGAGATTTGATTGTGATTCGAGTTTAATTGGGTGTGAAGTATATGTCTCTCTTTCTTTTTGATATAGGGAGGTCAACAGCAGTTTCGGCTATTAAACGATTAGAGTGGTTTTGGAGTCCGGGGGAAAATTGATTTCACAACTGCCCCCATGCAATGCAGAATTTTTTCCACTAAAACTACAGGGGATATTAAATAATTTTGACCAAATTATTCATTTCACAATGTTAGAAATCCATATTGATTTATTTTCTGATGATCTTAAAATTCATATAGTTCTACAAAGATGGTAAATAGCCCAAATATACAGGAGCCAGAAATACTTTATACTTTAAAAACAGATGCTTTTGCATGTTTGAAAAGTGAATTTCAACATGATTAGATTTTTGTAATTCATGAAAGCTTTTTTTGGTTAAAATAGAGAGTGGTTTTTACAGTCACTAAGTTAAATTAAATGTTTAAAACTAATTATCCGTCTTAATTTTGCACATAAAAAAAAAATTGAGAACTACATATTTCCAGTTCCCAACAGTGGACCAGCAAAAAACATCTCACAGCTCGACTTCCTCGAATGATTTAACTAAATAACCAGACTACTACGTCTAAATAGTCAAATTTGACTGAACACCAAAATACAACCAACAACAACAACAACATAGAAATCAATCACAACGGTTCTCTACCTATAAGCTACCACTATTTTTCATATTGAAAAGAATTTTTACAGTCGAATTTCTCTTCCACATTTGAGACAGGACAGTTGATCGATCTGCTCATCCTATCACGAGATCTGCCAGCCACCTTCACTAATAAAGCCAGGGTCAAGAGGATTACTAGAGGATCAGTGATACCCCTACACCCCTTATTCAATTCACCCCCTTGCCTTTACCCACCGATATCCTACTGGTATTATTCTCTGACACGCCTGGTTAGTTGAAAGGAAGCTCATAGATCAGAATGTATCCTACGTGTAATGATGAAGAACAACAACGAACTGGATATCTATCAAACGCTTAGTCACCAAGCTGTCCACCGACTCACGCGAACACCTGTGATTGTGTGGTAATTGTCAAACTGGTACTATTATCAATTTAGAGTCATAAACTACTAGCATTTTCTTCAAGAAATGATGCTTTGCTTTTGACCAATTATTATTTTTTAACAGATCAGATAATGTGTCTTCTCTTTCATCAACAAGTCACTACAAATAGAAATGTTGACGTGTCGTTCCAGTAAAGCAAAGTCAGATATCTGATTCAAATTTCAGAAAGATATTACCAGTTACACAAAACTACACATTTATTGTGTAGTAAGTTTGGTTGAGTGATTACAAAATCTGAATTATTTCTCTTAAACACGATATAGTTTGGGATCGCAAAAAGGATAAGAGACTGGTGATAAGGAAGAAGACACATCCAAGTTTTCTTGACTTCGTTCATTTTACAAATGCAATGGATATTACTGAGCAATATATAAAAAAAAAGGCAACTTTTAAGTACTTGCAGAATCTCAAAACCTGTAATACGGGCCCCAATGGATGTTTTCATCATTAAAATAAATATTTTTTCTCATGAAAAAAGTCATAAAAAACAAAAAATTGACCCAGAAACATTGCCCCAGCCTACCCCGAACATTGACTCATCATCAGCGGTTATCCTTACCCTGGTAATTAATATATTCTTTGAACATTTGAGGACTGAATGTTCTCTAAGACCCAACAATCCCTTAGATCAATCTGTTGTGATTTCATAAGCTCACCATGACAGACAGCTTGTGCAACTGTTCAGATCCATATAACACAGGAGGTAATGAACCTGATTCACAAAGCGGTCTGGACTATATATTCCTTCATTTTGCCTCTTTTTAAGGGGAACAGTCAAACCTGTCTTAGTGGAAACCTCTTTATAAAGCCCACCTGTCTATAGTGGCAGTGCATTTTGTCTCCCTTGAGGCTTGAGATTTATTTAAATGAAGGTAATGAACCTGATTCACAAAGTGGTCTGGACTATATATTCCTTCATTTTGCCTCTTTTTAAGGGGAACAGTCAAACCTGTCTTAGTGGACACCTCTCTATAAATGCCACCTGTCTATAGTGGCTGTGCATTTTGTCTCCCTAGAGAGTTAGTTAAAATGAAAGACTGTCTCACGCTAATATTCACACTCAATACATGAACATGTATATTCAACTTGGATAAACAAGAAATTAATTAATTCCAAGCTAGTTACAATTGACTTTAATAATTAGAGTTTGGGATATGACTCGCCTCTCTCAATCTCTCTCTGTTTCCTTCTTCAAATAAAGGCTTGGCGTGTCTAGACGCTAAAATCCCACTCGCCCTAAACACTCAGCACTCATCACATCAATAATTGAGGGGTAATAACAATCATTAACACCGGTATATTAACCCCACCGAGTCAAGACAGGGTGACTGTGTTTCACCTGTTCCACTGGAGCCATACACCCCTTGTATTGGATTAGAGACTCTCATTAAAGCATATTAAGGTTAATTTGTTTCACAGCGCTACAGTATGTACAGGTCATTCACTTGTATATATACCCAGGCTAGTGAAGCAAGAATTTTGTTTAAACTTTCAAATGTTTGTAGTTTTTTTTTTCCCAATTTTTTATATCTTAATCTGTCAATATCACACTTGGTATCTGATTTTTTTTGCTCTGTACTATGTACAAAGAGTTGTCTCCACAAATCTAAAACAGATAGTTATCATCTTTAACATGGTTATGTAACTACGCCATGTAGATAGACAAGTTTTCTAACATATTCAAATGTTATGCATACTTTTTAAACAAAGGTTGTTTGTGACAACGCGAAAGCTTGCCTGATTCTTGTCTGACATAGCATCAGGTCCCCATGAAAGGAATAAACTTGAATATGTTAGTAAACTGGTCTAATTTTCATAATTGATCATGAGACTAACCTCCTTAAATGTTTCTGGAACTTCGGAGCAGACTGGAAGAGGTTCTTCAAGCTTTTTCTCACCGTTTTCCTCATCTGATTCGGTGAAGCTCGAGGGGAAGTTGCTGTAAACATCAGAACAGAATATATCAAGGATAATCAAACTTGAAAATTGAAAATACTGATCTGCTACAAACACCATTATTAGTAAATGGGACTGATCTCAAGGGTGAGATTTTGGGTTAAAATGTAGTGGAGTATATCAAGACGTTAGTCTGATTTCGATAAGATTATGAAGCTCTTTTTTTTTCCTTGATTAAAAAGACACACGATATGAAAGGATTCAACAGCTAGAGACGTGCAATAATTTGTTTTATAAAATGACATGCCCGACACTCAAAACTAATTATTATGATGATCACAGCCGTTTCATGGCATTAAATATCTATTAAAGGGCATTGTAGGGATTTACACAGTGAAATTCTCAAAACATGTGAAAGGGCCACAATTTTGTATTTAAAAAAACAACATAATTGACAACTTTCTTATAAGTATGGTACCAATTTACTATTAAAAAAAATTACAGCAATTTTTCTTTCTTTTTCAAATTTGAATTTTGCAACTGGCATTGTTTTATTCATCCCATTTATTGCGTATGAAATGAGGGTTTCAATTTTCACTCATAGTACAACATCATTAGTATATCACCACATTTAACAAAATTATATTCAAACCACAGCTCAATCACTTTTTCCTTCTTTCAAGCTATTCAATATATGGAAATTGAACGACGTAAAGATCGAAGAAGTAATTGTGTGACTTACATTTGATTTCAACAGAGTCTGCTGGTCTCCCGTCCCGTACTTGCTGGAAGAGCTCATCGATCATGCTCAGCCTGCCCCAAGACCTGGGCTTGCTGCCATCCACATCCCTCCAACCTAGAAGAATCACAAGTAAAACATGGAAAGAAAGTGATTTATATGCTCAAAGCCTCAAACATATGCTATCGTGGAGGTGTCGTGGTCATTCACTTGACTCTCAATCCAAAGGTATATATATATTTATCAAAAAAATGTTTAAAAGAGCATAAATGGATAAACAAAAACAAAACAAAATTACAACTACAAAATACTTCCTGTGCATCAAATCAAATATTATCCAACAAGCAAAGTTTCTCCACACAAAAAAAACACAATGTAATCTATCATCACTTTATCTACCTTTTTTCCTCCAAAATGTAGGTGCCATTTATTAAAATCACTCGTCAAACACAAAACCTCCAGAAAGGGCTCCAAATCCCCAAGAGTAACAAAAGAAATCAGTTGGCTCTCAAACATCAACTACTAATTTACAAGCAGAAGTGCCGAGAGAGATGACTTTTCAACTGACTATTCCAAGGCAAGCTCAAGTCCACAAATGACTGTAGAAATTACAAGACAGGAAGCTAATACTAGGCAGGGCGGTATAGTCTACGTCCCAGATTATTCCAGACACAACTGTTGACAAGTACAGGTTGGTCTTTCGCCCATCAAATTTGTTGGGAATATCCTACGTCCATGGATGATTGATAGGATCTAGGTGACTAAAGAGAAATTAAAAAGTTTGCTCAAGTCTTTACAAACCAAAACATCATTTTGTTGTTCTTTTATAATTCCCTTTTTTCTCCTCCATCATTTGTGGGTGCATGGCTGGTACTAATTAGCCCCTAAGGAAGCCCCTGGTAGGCCCATTTGTTGACACATACAGGTAATGGAGATGAGTGAATCGGGGAAACGTGTGATATCACAAGTGACAACATCACGTGCCAGAATGAATGACTCCAGGTTTGCGTAAGATAGAGGGGTGATGCTCCTCTGTCTCTTGGAATCATGCTAGACACTGACTAACAATGTCATGTCATAACTCATTCTTCTGCATCTCAAATGTTTTCTTTCGTCCTTCCCCTATCATTTTTTCATTTTCAAAGTACTTCTTTCTCAACGTTTTTTCTCTCAATACTTAAATTAAAATCTATTCCCCTCTTCTATCTTCTTCTCCACCTTCTTCACTCTCTCTTCTCCTGCCCTCCCTCTGTTTTTCTTTTCCTACACCTCCACCTTTTTCTGTCCCTCCTTTCGTTCACTCTTTATTCCTCTCTCATCTTCTCTTTCTTCTCTCTCTCTCTCTCTCATTTTACATTTTCTCTTCTCTCTCTCTCTCTCTCATTCTCTCTTTCTCTTTTCCTTCCTCTCTCTCTCTCTCTCTCTCTCTCTCTCTCTCTCTCTCTCTATCTATCTATCTCCCTCTGTTTATTACTTACATGACGGGACAGCAAATGATGGATTTGACGTCTGGGTGGGGCCGAAGCCCTTCATATTGAAGGCTGACACACGTACATAATATTTGGCACCCTGCATTAAAGAAAGAAAAATAAACAAAAACAATATTTAATTCAAAGCTGTAAGGGAAGTAATATTTTGTCAAGTTCAGAATTAAAAAAAAAAAAATTTAAAAAGAACAATACCATAGTTTGAAAAATGTCCGAAAGATAATCACAAAGCTAAAACATATTATTTCCATATTTCAAATAACTGATCCAGCCAAATACATTATAGACCAGAATTATTACACTGTATAGAGTTTAAAATGAAAGGTGGAATGATGGATTCTTCTCACATAAACACTATCACCGGTTCCTACCATAGTATCAAAACAAAATGGAAGCCTTATTCAACCAACCGGTTAAATCATATATGTGAACACCATGATCAAATTAATCTTCTCACTTCCATGTACAGAAAAAAATATGTATATAATCAATGATATTACAAGATGGGGGTTGGGGGAATAGGAACTTCATCCCTTCTGGGACAATTAATGTACTTTTAATGTTGAACTTATGACTTATCATGTTCTGTTTCCTTCACAAACTGGGCACAAAATACAAACTTCACAAAAAAGGAAGGGCCTAAGCCGCCTAGCTGTTTCAGTTTACACTGGAACAAAACTTCCACCTCTGTAGTCCAAAGACATTTTCAACTTGTCGCAGGCTTCACTGCTCATGGGATGTAAGGGGTTAAAGACTCAAGAGCAGATCCTTGTCTATAAGGCTTGTTCAGAAATGACGCGGTTAACCACCGCCCCCCCCCCCCCTTCAAATGAAGAAAAAAAAAAAGACTTGCCTTGGGCCAGCTACTAGGCCTCTGCATGGTGGATCATCAACTGATTCCAGTAAAATCTAATCCAAAAAAGGTTCTTTCCCATCTCCAATCTCTCATCGAAATGAATCCCATGCACAATCAGAGTAATTGATTTACACAATCAAAATGTCAAAATGTGTCTTAAAAAACAGTATTTTTTTCCAGAGAAGAATCAACAAGAAAGATGCATGGTGATTATAATCTCATAAACTGACTTGAATCACAACAAAACTGAAGTCATGCAGCTTGAAAATCCACCTCTAACAGTCAGTTGATTATATATGGTCTGAAAACTCTGCTCCGTTTTCAACAAGAAACACACACACACAAACATTTGAAACAAATCTAGTATCAGATCTACAATATGATTGAATGTAAACTTTCACCATTCATCCAAATCAATGTAACTCCTTCATTATCATTCCATGCAAGTGCCTCCATTATGATATTAATCCAATCAGTTCAATATATAGGACGGCAGTATAGAGATAGATGCAAGGGTTTCAAAGGCTCCGTTTTTCACCACTCAGGGGAGTTGCCCTCCTGTAAACTACACAAGAGGCTCAGTTGGAGCAGGGACACGAGTCCCTGGTTGGAGTATATAGCTCCAAGTAGTCAAGAAAAAACTTTTCTGTCACATGCCGATAATTCATCTCCGATCAGCCATCTTTGTCAACAACGCCGTCCTAATCAAACAAATATCTGTACCGACTACTTCACAGAGCAGGTACTCACAACATACACAAGCCCCTTTCACTCGATCTTTGCCAAAGAACGGCAAAGCTTGTCAAAAAAGAAACTGCTTCTCTTGCATTTAGGTCTTGCCTATTGTGATAGAGAGTGATGAAAAGAAAGCTTCTGTACCTGTGCGACTTCTGTGCAGCCTTTTATGTTTATTCATGCCCCTCCGTCGCATTGGCTTCAGGCATTAATTCCACTAACAATCAATGGATTGGGATAGGCCTAGTAATAGTACCCATGGAGTAAAGGAGAGAAGACTTAGAACTGCTTTCGTATATTTTGAGCCGATTCTGGTTTTGAATTATAAGCTGGTTGATTTCTAGACATCCAGACTAGATCTTAGCCAAGAAAATAGCTCTGCTGATGAATTCATTCACCTTTGGTTGCTATGACCCCAAAGACTCATCTCAAAAGAATCCCCCACCCCCTGCCCTTTTCTCCCTCTCTCTCACCCCTCTCTCTCTCTCTCTCTCTCTCTCTCTCTCTCTCTCTCTCTTTTTTTTTTCTCTCTCTCTCTCTTTCTTTTCTCTGTTATGATACACACACCCTTTTCATTTCTATTTGCCATTCTATCCTTAGAATCCTAACTCTTATTCACTACTGCATCATTTTATATCCCTTGTTTTTTGTTCTCCTCTAATTCTAAAAATGTACATATTGTACTCCTCTCTCTCCCTCTCTCCCTTCATCCATCTCTCCCCCTCCCTCCCTCCTTTCCCACCCCTTCTCTCACCCCCATCCACCTGTGAATCATCTCCTTTAGTCTCTTATTAACCCCATGGAGCTTAACAATGCATTTTGACAATGGAGGGACATGTAAGACCCCTCAAGCGTTATCTATTGTGTCTTTTCATCCCTAACATGTCCCAAAGCACCGTCCCAGAATCCTAGTCATAAAAAACCCTTTATCATGCCACACTAAACTATTGATTTTACCCCCTTAGCTTGATATAAAAACAAGTTCACACTGTCAATAACAGCAATACTATTATGGTAATCAATAGCAATTTAGTGAAACTGTTCAAACGCTTAATTTTAAAGACCATCAAGGGTGGTTTGAATCGCTGCGGAACTAATGTCTTTTGGCAAAGCATTAATCTACATTTGCCACTCTCCACCCCGGTGTAGTAAGTGGGTAACTAGTAGGAATTTATTCATTAAATGCTTTTAGCACCTAAGGATCGACAGCTAGGCTAAAGCCAGTTAAAATAATAATCAATAGGTAATACCGTGAGCATCCCCTGAGGTGGATATGTGCACAACATAAATGTAGCTACCCTGTGTTAGTGTTATTATGTACATATATTCAATCCCACCAAGGGTTGTGCACAACAGTTGATACAAGGACAGATTTAAAAACAATGTTTTCACTAGTGGGAACAAGCCATCTACATAGGGTCCTATCAATCAATAAACATTTATTGAAAATTCAATCTATGCCTTCTCTAATCCATCTTTTTCATGAAAGGAGAACTGAAAACAAAACACATTTTCCTTTTCAAAACATTTTTCCCACATTAGGTCACTATCACAAGAAAGGATCTACATTTGTAACTTGGCACGGTGATGGTGCGTGACACTTAACACACAGCTCTCTTTCAAACTTTGGGTAATTGATCTACAATGGTGATGACATTGTGATGGTTCGTGACTCTTTTCACACCCTTGCCTTCAGACTTTTGGTAATTCATCCACAATCAAGAAGAACTGGAAACAAAACACAACACATGTTCCTTTTCCAACATTCAATTTCCCCTCACATTAGCAAACCAACACAACAAAGGAACTATACATCCGTAACTTGGCACGGTGATGGTTCATGACACTTTACACACCCTCGCCTTCAAACTTTTGGTAATTGATCCACAATCAAGGGAAGAGGCAATGTAAGGGTTCTGGACATCGCTTGGAGGACAGACCAAGGAAGTGCAGATCAATCAATAGTAAACTCTGCCAAGATTGCATCACCAAAACAATTCAATCTACACTTCTTGAAAAAGAATTGTAAACATACTTTGACTAGACTCTGACAACTTTTTGTTCATTTTGTTTGCACTGTGACACAATACTTTAAACTTAACATTTAAACAACGACCCACTAACAATGTCACAGGGTTCACATGGCACTGAGGGTAGTCATGCTATGAAGCTTTGCTTACTTTGTCAACCCTCCTGTTTGATGTTTTTGATTAGTTACAGCCAGCCTTACTTTATTCTACACATATTCTTTTGTCATGTGTAATTTGCAATGTTTTATTTGTTATATATTTGTAAAAATGCAGAAGAAAAAGAAAATCAAACAGAAATAAATAAATCAAATCAAATCAATAAATCAAACAACTGCTCAAGGTGTGGAACTACAAGCTAGGCAAGCAGTAACTACAAGCATGTGAAGCCAAAGTTAACTGCATCAACACAGCACATAGATTTAAAGTGATGACCCCTTCCCCCTCCCTCCATTGCTCATAGATTTCACGTTGAAAATTTTGAGTAAACTTTTCAAACCACAAGCGTGTCCTTAACCCTAATATAGCAAGAAAACAAGATCAAAGCTACAAGATAATTGCACAAAAGTATCCCTAACTACAAGTTTAAAACCACGAACTAAGTATACAGACTGTTGTATTAAAGAAATTATATGGAGCATGTGTTATCGTATCTCTTTACAGTGTTTTGTTATCATAACTATGTATATAAGCCAATCATCCGGTAGAGCGACTGTTTGCTCTTCATTCCAGCATGTGGTCGTTTTGAATAAAAGATATTACTTGTCGTAAGTTAAATGTGAAGATATAGATTTGTTTGCAAAGTTATTCAATACCATAAATGATATCAAGTATTGATCCATTCTGAATCACCCCCCCCCCCAAAAAAAAGAACTTTTAAAGTGAGATAAAATCATTGGGACATTATTATACTACAAATCGCCCAAATCTTTGTGTTATTTTTTTCCTCAAAATCTTGGGCAAATAAACCCACTGTCTATGAGGAACAAGGTGCTTTATTAAACAATAACATAGAGTTGGAAATTAAGGTGTTTATTCTAAGTATTCAAAATGAGTGAGATAACCCCCTTCTGATTCTCGGCAGTAAATATCTTCCATTGCAGTCAATTTATCAGAAATTCTCTTCATCAAACAACATCATGATAAAAAGTAAAATTTCCATTAAAAATCATGACTTAGTTGTAGGACTTGAAACTTTTTAATATGAACAAGCCAAATTTTTTTTAAGGAAAGAAAATTGCCACAATTATTAAAAATCCTAATAATAAAGACAAAAATATAAGGTTCAGGTACTTAATTTGGGTGAGGTAAATCAAAGAAATGAAAATGTAATTCTGTAGTAAGGAGATCACTCGGGGAATATCATAATCTCATGGATAACGAGAGATTTGGATGAGAACCAAGGGATTAAAATAAGACCCTTCTGCAGACATTGTCCCCAAGCTGTCTAATCAAAACTTTCAACAAGGATGAATGGTTCTTTCTCTGGATTCTGGAGAAGACAATCTTGCGTATTTCAGACTGATTGGTAATTACTAACAGTGAAGATAGCTCATTGCTATATAATAGATGTTGCCATTAGTGTAATAAAACACAATTATACCCCATTCACAGTGGTTTTGAAATTTGTAGCGGCGTTGTAGCGGAGCGGCGACACCGCCATAACACCGCTACAAATGCATTCACAGTAGAAAAGTTATCCCGCTGCAGCAGCGGGATAAATATCATGTACCCATTCACGCTGCAGCGGGTGATTTTTATTACCTCCGTAACAAACACGTGTATGCATGGCTCATGACCCGCGAGTGACCCCGATATGACCGGAAATACTTGCTTGAAATTGCGCGGTAAACATGTCAAGTTGCTTTTTGTATCCTCGATCATATTACTTTTTAAAAAACTAGCATTTTTATTGCTTCCAGTCAGAATATTTTAATTTTTTGAAGTGTGAAATATTTTTATTTGGATAATTATGATACCTACATAATAATAAAATCAATTTGAATCCACTGGTTACTTTATTTCTATTTCACTTTATGTTCCCCATTGCTGTAGAAAAGAGGTCAGTGATAGGTAAGTAAACAAATCACACGTGTTTGTCGCGGTGTTATAGCGGAGAGCCTTCACACTGAGTAAACACCGCGACAGCAGCGGGACTGTCCCGCTGCTGTAGCTAGGCGTCCCTAGCGATAGTTTGTGTCGGCGTTATCGCTAGGCGGTGTTATCCCGCGATAGTTTATAACGGGTCCGAGCCTTCACACTGAAGACAACACCGCGACAGCAGCGGGACAGTCCCGCTGCTGTCGCGGTGTTTGAGGCCACTGTGAATGGGGTATAAGTGTAATAAAACACCAAAAACAGAGCAAGATAACTACAAATTAATTAGTCTACATGTTAAAGGCTGTTCTTCAGCATGTACAAGTATGAATTTGATTGCACATAAAATAAAAATTGAAAATTAATGAAAGATAATTTCCATCTATAACAATCTGAATAACAGATTTTACCTTACCTGATGATAATACAGGCATGTGCTCAGCGCTTACTTTCAAGTAAAATGATAGTTTTAATGTGAAATTTATTGTATTACTTTTGGTCGACTCAAGATTTTAATTTGTTTCATATTTCATTAATTAAGTATGGGACATAAATTCAGAAATATCTTGGACTTGCCAAATATCTCTTACTCCTTACTAGATTGATTGCATATTTCATCATACAAAGCGGTAACATTACCCAATCATACAAAAAACATACAAACAAACAAACAAACAATACACAAACAAAGCTCACAGTGACAAGCTCTGATATATAAACTATATGTTTCTTACCTGTGTTAAACCTTGTATAGTATATTTGAGATTGCTGAAGTGGTATAGTATATGCTCCCCAGCCAACGGGCAGAAATCCTCGTTCTGGCTCCATTCAACTGCAAGTAAAAAAAGAAAGGGGGAATTATAGATAAAGAATTGCCATGAACTAAATATGGTGAAAGAATACATTGGTATAACAAATTATTATGAAAAACTACAGTATTCTCATAAGTGATCATCATCCTTTAGCGGGGCATGGCTCATAGTCCGATCAGCAAAATTGAAATTATTACCACTCTTATAAATTTTCAAAAAAAATATTGAGGATTAACTTTTGATGATCAGACCGTCTTTACGAAAAGAATCAGCAAGAAAATGACCCCTAAGCACCCTCTCTTACCAGTGTGTTATAAGATATGAAAATATGAGGTGCGCTATCATGTAATTTCATTTTGCTATGGCATTTTAAAACTTTTAGGTCGTGTACAATGTCATATTGGAACGAGGACCACTAGAGGATATAAAGATGAAAGAGAAAACTAAATACTCACTTTTAAACCTTGTAGCCGTGGCTCCATTCATGTTGAGTGGTTCGTCAAAGGTAGCAAGAAGGGAAGAGCTACTCGCTGTGTATAATCGCACTAAGGCTGGTATGTCAGGTACTCCTAAAGCAAGGTTTAAAGAATGAACAATGTGATTACAAAAACATTTTCTACTTATGTAATTAATTCCTAGAGCAGACTCAGAAAATCTATTGAGTTTCGTAAGATTAAAAAAATCCTTAAAAAAACACATGATATTTTCTAAATTCTATACAGTACATGTACAATATCTACAGCACGTTATCTGATAAACATCAGAAAGGCATCAAATCTATATTAAATATCCCCCTTCTTGCTCTCAGCATATGACATGTTATTAAAACTGGAAAGTGTAAAATTGTACTCATCACAGAAAATATCTCTTCAATAAAAGTGATATCATCTGTTTAAAGCACAAAAGGCATTTACTCTGTTAAATCATAGAATCAAATCTTCTGCCTCTCAACTATATGATCTTTTGTGATGCCATCATTATTGCAAACCTGACCTGAAAAGTAAAGTCTTCTTCATACAAAAAGAACTGAATAAACATGTGCAAAACCATGAAACTGACAAATTCAGGAACAACAAAACTACTTATTTGGAAGGAGAATAAAAACAAAGACAAAACAACTCCATACAGTTGAATTATATCACCTGTCTGATGTGTTACCTGGGATCATGCTCTCTTTTCACACCAGTCTGGTGCTAGGAAGGTATTAATTACCGCTCCTTCCTTTCAAATGGGCCATCAATAATTGAAACTAATGAGAGTGGATACACAGGATTACTCAGGCACAAAGTCCAGCCTTGTCTGCACTCAAAATTACATATGTCTTTTCTATTTGAGCCTCGGATAGGTCTAGATTCCATTATCGGTTTCAGGACACAGGACTAATTAATTGCATCACTCCACACACCTGAAAGTGAGGGTTATCTGTGTTTTGAAATCTTACTCTCTTGGTTATCTTTCATCTGTGACATCAGAATAATTTCATTTGAAAGTATAATGACGTTAGAAGTGTTGTTTTGCTGGTCTCGCTTTGCGTCAGAGTTTGTTTTGTTTTTGTCTGGATGGTAATGAATTCTTTCCACCTTTATGATGATCAAAGAATCAACTCCATGCACCTTTTCGTTATTTCATCCTTATCAACAAACTTTTGGTTTCTATCAGTGCGTAGGTAACAGGAAACGTCACAGACGCAATAAAAAGCTATAATTTGTGTTTTCTTTTTTTAACTAATAAAACATAACAGCTTAAAAACCTCAACAACAACAAGAGAGTCTTCTTAACTCTCTCTGTGGTTTTCATTATGATGCACTATTATTTTAACCCTCTGTGCATCAAAGTAAATAAGAAAAACAAAAACATTAAGATGAATTAAATCAGAAAAGGGAGAATAAGAAGAAGAAGAAGAAAGAGGAGGAGAAGAAGGAGAAGGAGGAGAAAGAGGAGGAAGAGAAAGAAGAAGAAGAGGAAGAGGAAGAAGAGAAAGAAGAAGAGGAAGAGAAAGAAGAGGAAGAGGAAGAAGAAGAAGAAGAGAGAAAAAGAGAAGAAGAAGAAGAAGAAGAAGAGAAAGAAGAAGAAGAGAGAAAAAGAGAAGAAGAAGAAGAAGAAGAAGAAGAGAAAGAAGAAGAGGAAGAAGAAGAGGAAGAGGAAGAAGAGAAAGAAGAAGAGGAAGAGAAAGAAGAGGAAGAGGAAGAGGAAGAAGAAGAAGAAGAAGAGAGAAAAAGAGAAGAAGAAGAAGAAGAAGAGAAAGAAGAAGAAGAGAGAAAAAGAGAAGAAGAAGAGAGAAAAAGAGAAGAAGAAGAGAGAAAAAGAGAAGAAGAAGAAGAAGAGAAAGAGGAAGAAGAGAGAAAAAGAGAAATAGAAGAAAGGAAAGAGAAAAAGAAGGAGGAGGAGAGTGTGGAAAATATGAAATATAGAGAGTAGGAGAATCAGGAGCAGCAGCAAAAGGAGACATACATAAAAAATAAAATCAATATAGGCAGAAGAAAGAAAATGGAAAAGGATTCACAACAGAAACTATAGAGGGAGACATACTTGCTTGTTCAAAGCCAGTCTTCATTCGTTTCAGTAACCTGTATCGCCATTCCCAATCCACCAGTTGCCTATCAGCATCCTATAAAATGATAAAAAATAAAGAGAAATCAGATACAATCCCTGAAAAGTCGTTACTGGAATATATAACTATCAAACCATTGAGAAAGGATTTCATTTTCATGATCTTTCACAGATTTACAATTGGTGTATCATCCCAAGTTATCTCAGACTCTGTTTTGAATAATTAGGTAGAATTAATTCATTGCTTTGTGAAGGCCTGAAAATTAATACGCCTAAACATTACAAGTAAAATAATGGGATATTAAAGAAAGCTGTACATTGAGATCACCTGCCTATAGAGACCACTTTCCTTGTCTTCCTTGAGTGGTCTTTATATACAGGTTATATAACTTGAGATCACCTGCCTAAAGAGACCACTTTGCTCGTCTTCCTTGAGTGATCTTTATATACAGGTTATCACCTATCACCATCAACTTCCTGTAAATACCACTTTTCTTGTTCTTTTGAGCGGTCTTTATATACAGGTCAGGTGACTTGAGATCACTTGCCTGCAAAGACCACTTTCCTTGTCTTCCTTGAGTGGCCTTTATATACAGGTTTCACAGAAGTTTGATGGAAATGAGATGTAGATTTTTGGTTTGTACCTTGATCGAACTGGAAGAAGTAGCATTATTATTGCCGGAGCCGTTGACAACACGGGTGGTGAGATCCTGGATGACTTGTTCCGCTTCATTGATCAGAGTATTGAGCTTGTTTAGGCGGACATCTTTCAAAAGAACTAGAAGGAGGAATAAAGAAAGAATACTAATATTCAACCATTTTCCCAGATGTTATAAATCATTAAGAACTAATAGCTCACACAACTGTATTTTTCTTATCTTGAAAGTAACTAATATCCAGCAAAGATACACATTGAATTTATATTTCAATGTGCATTATAACATTACCATTGTCATCATCACCATCATCATAACCACCACTATCAAACTATCACCACAATGACAAGGACTTCTACAACTGCTATCTCAACTGTCCTCCTCCTCCGCCTCGTCATCACCATCATCACTACCACCATCACCACCATCACCACCTCTACCATCAGCACCACTATCACCATAACCACCACCACCACCACCATCATCATCATCATCATCACCACCACCATCAAAATCACCACCACCACCATCACCACCATCACCACAACCACCATGCACCACCACCATTCCCACCACCACCATCACAATCACCACCACCACCATCACCACCACCACCATCACAACCACCACTATCACAACCACCACCACCATCATCACCACCACCACCACCACCACCGCCACCACCACCACCACCACCACCACCACCACCACCACCACCACCACCATCATCACCACCACCATCACAACCACCACTATCACAACCACCACCACCACCACCACCACCACCACCACCACCATCACCACCACCACCACCACATCCCTCGCCTCATCAAACTTACATCTGGGGTTTTCCCTTGCTCCGTGAGAGAGGAGCAATCTAGACATGGGCATGTTATTGGTCATGACGGCGATGTCTAGCACGGTGAACTCGTCAGGGTTGGGCTGGTTCAGGTCTAGCCCGTTGGCTTCCAGACAATATTTGGCTACGTCCAGGTCTTGGTGTTCCACTGCCTCAAAGAGAGCTGGAATTTCAAAACAAAGGAGCGGCAAAAGTTTAATCACCCACACTCTCAAATTCATGCACAGTTGTTTAGAATAGTCATATCATTTTTTAATTTTTTTTTTTTTTTTTAATGAAAAAAAAAGCTTACGACGACTTCAAATAATGCATACATTATTTTCAAATATAAATCTGACATTATTAGGGATTGCCTGTGGAATAAGAATTTCTAAGGGACAACAGACGATTTTTCAATTGTTGCTTTCACATTTCCCTAAATGTATTTGATATCTATCATATTTGTTTCCCTAATGATTATTGGACAACATTTCGATAGTAATTTCCATATCAAAGTGATGTCCTGTAGATAATGCTTGTGGATACTTTTGCCCCACCAGAGTCCCTTCAATATTTGAAAAATTCTAGTTGCCTGGAGTTCAGTGGGGGGGGGGGGGGGGGAGATTCTTGTCTCTAACAGATCGATTTTGGAATTAACGCTAGTATCGCTCAACTCAAGTTGACCTTGCCTTGCTTCATCGCCCTTGCTCTCAACTCCTAACTACACCCAACCAATCTACATCAAGAATTTATCATTTCATTAGGATAATTATTATCTGCCGCACAAGGAATTATCCAACAAGCAATTTCATTCCGTTAGCTCTCTTGTGCAAGGGTGATCAAGCATGTCGATGGAATTACTACTTTCCATTCCTACTTCATTATCAAAAATGCATAATTTCACAACAGAGTGCACATGATATAAATGATAGTGATCTTCAGTTATCAAGCTTTGTCGGTAGTCTGATGCTTGGGGCCTTTCATCTGATAATTTGAGCGCTTGCGTCACAGGTCAAATCAAATTGATTTTTCATATTAATCAAATAGATTGCTGTCTTTTAAAACTTTGGCTATTATGGATAACAAGATTATTAAAAGTGTGAATTCTGCAATCGTTTTTCCCTTCCCATTTCTGTCAAACACGACTCTATAATTTTGATCTCTTATATGTCTGATCTTTTACTCATTATCAAGGACCATGATGTGATATGTATATAAATATATATTTGAGCTCTGCAGTTCAAAAGTTTAGAGCGTTAACTTGCCAAATAAAAAATTATTGTGATTATGTCAAGTTTTGGTACAGAGTATAACACATCACATCTAGGTTTTTCGACCCCCAAATTCAAATGATGATATCAAATGTCATCATCTACATGAGTATTAAATAGATTAGAGTGGTCAGACAATATGATTATGATAATGATAGTCTGTTCCAGTGTATCTACAAAGAATGAATCTTATCCAGTACACCTTCACTATTCCTGGGTTGAGAGAGACAACTATACATGAAATGCTGAGTCTGTGTACACATCACGCAAGAATGTAAACTCAGTATCTCAAATTAAAAAATCAACAAGTGAATTAACCATTATGACCAAACTTTGTAAAGGATAACTTATCCCGTATATTAACCCACAAACAAGGTGCTTGTTTACCTTGTAAATCAGAAATATATTTGGAATTTCTTCTGCCCTTGTCCTTGACGGAGCTGCCCCCTAGCCCCGTGGAGTCCACCTCGTTCATGCTTGCCCCCCTCTTCTTGCCCGAGAGGCTCCTCTGGAGTTTGTTAGGGGCGAGGGGAGACGGAGGAATGGAAGAGGATTTGCTCCTGTCGTCTCCTGGCACCAAGCTCTCCATGCTATGGGCCTTCCGGACATCGCCACTGTCAAGATCAAATAAATAGTGGGAGAAAAAGGATTGATTTAATGAGATTTCATTAAAAAATCACCACAAAAAAATGAGAGAAAACAGATCAGAAATATTCACATATTGTATATTTGAAGCCAGAAGAGTGTTAACTCTGTGTTAACCTAATGAGTTTAACGCCCTTCTGGCTCTGAACAGATGATATCGTCTGCTGCGAGCCAAAAGGGCGTTAACTCTGCAGAAAATAATGCGAGTTAATCCTTTTACTTGCCAAGGATCAAAACCCCCATCTGCCTTTTCGAAGTATACCGGTATATGATACACATCACCTTTTTTTGAGCCAGAAAGGCATTTACTCATGTACACAGAGTAAACGTCCTTCTGGCTCCAAACAGACCATATGCACAGTGGGTGTGACAAAACTTGAGTGAGGCAATCCACTCATCAGTCTATTAATACAACACAAGCCTGCAAAGAGTTAATGCCCTTCTGGTTCTTAGCAAGCAGGTCAATAAATTATCATGAGGTTTTGTGTAAATGGCTAACATGAAGTGCTTAAAAAAGAACGCAAACTTGAGTGCCAGGGGCTTCATAGATTAAATGGCAATGTACAAAGTCTAAAAAGAGAAAAATACTTTTTAAATCCTAAACAAAGCACAAAAAATCAACAATGTTTTCATTGCAGGTGTTCATTTATCTTAAATCAATAAACAGAACATAAATAGACACCAACCAAACATTTTTTTCTTCTTATAATCAAGCATAATTGATCATTGACAATAAGAAAACAACCCCCAAAGGCCCAAGTAATGCGTAATCCAGGAACACTCAATAATCTTTAAACATTAGTTTTTTTTTATATATATATATACCACAAGAAAAGAGGAAAGAAAGGGGAAATGACATAAGTTGGAAAGGAGGGAGAGGTAGATGGAGAGGGAGAGAGAGAGGGAGAGAGAGAGAGAGAGTGATAAAGAGAGATGGGGAGGGAGAGATAGAGGGAGGGAGGGGAGAGAGGGAGAGAGGGAGAGATAGAGAGAGAGAGAGAGAGAGAGAGAGAGAGGGGAGAAAGAGCAAGAGAGGAAAATGGATTTTCCAGAATCCATAAGATTAAGCATGAAATCCCTAAGCTGATACATCACACTTATCCCAAGGGTCCCAAAGCCTCCAGAGTAAATCCCTCTTATAAAACACAAAATGTCCCTTTCATCCTTTTGCTATCAGAGGGTTTATAGACCTGCATGTAGCCAGTAGGATAATCTTCTTTCTAAATTGCCAGTCTCGATTTTTAAATCCTTTATATTTGATATTCAACTATTTTTTAAAGGAAAAAACAACAACCAGCCAATTGCTTTGTGTAAAATATAATCTCTTGAATGTCGATTTCATTTTTGTTCCCATGGACTTTTCTCATCATTAGGATACTCTTCAAAACCAATCTGCAAATTCGGTGTCATGGGCTAAGCAATATGCAGACCAATCTGAAGAATTATATTTATTAGAAATACATTCTCATACATGAGATATGAGGAATGTGTTTTGCATATGACATTAATAATTAAAATGTCAGAAGGTTGCATTGTTTGTTGAAAGCAAGAAGAGTGTTAACCTATACACAAATACACTTTGGGCGACCTTCCACGCAAGCCGCCGTAAGTGGCGCTACAGTTGGGGGGCAGCTGGGGGGCTTCTGGATAGCACCTGAATGGGAAAGTTGAATGAGTGAGAGCTCGTTCGTACTTAGGCCCGCATCTACTGGCGGTGTGGTGAGAGTGCCTCCGTACCGTAAGATCGAACTCACAACTCTGCTCCAGCTAGCTAAAATTCCTTGAATTATTTATATTCTAACTCTAAATCATTCCGTCTCTCACTCTCTTCAATTCAATAAAATCATCTGCATGTTAACATACACGATAATGAATATGTGGGACACCGTTACAACGGCGTCTCCCAAACTTCGATTGCCGAAAACGCACGCAAAACTCGCCAATGACGGACATCATCTACCCATTCATCCATCGTAAATGAAATAAATTTAGACAAAATGAAGTTGAAATGTCCGAAAGCGGCAAGGAATAATAAGTGGTTTGTCTGTGAGAAAGCAATGATCGTTGCATGCAAGATGAAAGCGCAAGCTGATAGAAGCCCCCCAGCGTGTAATGATAAACGTAGAGGGCTCACATCCATGAAAATTCGCCCGTATCGGTGTATATGATTGTGTGCAGTTAATGCCCTTCTGGCTCTCAACAGACATCCCCATCCATTGAGATGAATTCCTTCATGAAATATACATGAACTATACATGAAGCTGTAACATTATCTCAGTTAAACCTTGTAACTTACAATATTAATATATCATATTGTAAAATACTTGGGTAATCCTTTGAAAGATTGCAAATCAGGGACCTATTTTAAACAAAGCCTTTTTTCAATGACAAATGACAAAAATCAGTGACAAATCTGCTGATAACCAACCAAAATCCTAAAACAAAATCTGTCATTTTGTCACTGATGACAGGTTTTGTGAAATGGGGCCCACTGATCTCTCAAGTTAGTAGAAAGAAGCATGTTGACTCGTATTTTCAAATGGATTAGTGCACTCAATACTGACCAAGTACCCAAACAAATGAAACTACACTGAGAAATAGATTACTACAATATGAATTTTATCATGTATCATGCATCACAACAATATAAAGGTACAAAGAGAGAAATTATGAATTATTATTCTGCTGCATCAAGAAAGATATGTAAAAATGTTATCCTGCTATTAAACGAAGCTCATAACAAATCAAGTCACTGCCTCACTATCACAATGAAAGAAAAAATCACAACATGATGATAAAAAATGAAATGAGAGGCAAAACTCATGCACTAGTATGGTATCCTGCAACATTAAACAAAAGAAAAATGGAACACAAGCCGAGCGTGTTATAATGAATGGACCAGCAACAACAACAATAAAAGAAAAATGAACACAAGCCGAGTGTGTTAATGAATGGACTGGCCAGTGAAAGCTAGCCCTAGTTTCACGACAATGTAACACATAGAGGAGGAGCCCGAGGACAGAGGATCAAGTCTTACGTTGAGGGTTTACGAGGCATGGCCGCGTGGTGGTCGTCGACCAGGAGCATACTCCAGAGCCGGTCGGGGATGCCGTTGGCGCTGGCGACGTCGGACTCGTAATCACTGCATGCAGGGGACATTGTGACAATAATATGGGACATCATGCTCAAACAAAAAATTTCATTCACTACTTGAGAAAATAAAAGTTATGAAATGCAAACCAAATTATAGAAACATGCAAGGGCAGTCAAATGGTTCTAGTTAAGAGCAGGGTTTGAAGAATGGCTAAGATCAAACTGATGTTAAACTGGAAAGGAAGTCTACATCAAAGTGTTTCAGAGAATTCTACGGTCGCATTCTAAACAATATTGTATGTGTCCATTGAATTGCGTTTTAGACTGGCAACAAAAGGCAATATCTAACTTCACAAAACTTTCTCACAGCAACGTTCACGTCTACTGCTACGATCCTACAAAGGGTATCGGCACAAGCCAAGAAATGCTGGATAATTTTCACAACACTAGCAGCATCTGGTGACATTCACGATGACCCACACAAAATAAATCGTCACCATTAATAGAGTCAGGAGAAATAACCCTTATCCAATTTTATCTACAATGAATGGATCTTAAACTCCACATTAGCGATGACACATTGTTGGTTTTAAGTGCTCCAAAAAAGCTCAGAAGTATCTCTCATTTATTGGTCTGGTGATTGCCGTGTCTCCACCACAAATATTTTTGATACACGCATGTTCGTGAGCTGATGTATTCCTCACTAGCACTTTACTTCTCTGAATCAAATTATGTCATCTCGTCATGAATGATAAAGATCTTCTCATCACAAATATTCCAAGTTGCATAAAAATTGGTCTGAGAATCAAAACAATATCATGTTCATATGTCCTCATTTCTTTTTTATCTAACCTGTTTGAATTAATTTTTGCTCTGTCCGTAGAGTTTAAACAGGTTCCAAAGAGTTTTACCAATCTTTTGATCAGTTGAAATATTGCGGCTACTACAAAAGACTTCAGGCACTAAGATTTATGGAGAGATATGACAATCTCATTAATTACACATCACTATCCTTCTATTTCAGTTTTAGCAGTAGGTATGCAACACTCAAAATTACATCATCTTTAAAAATAGTTATTCCTGACCTTTAAACATTACATAAAAATGGTTTTGGGTTTGAAGATCTTTGGAAATAGACATAAACAATGTATTTTTGAGACTTTGGTCATCAAAAATGATATTTTTAGAAAATATTTTGAGGTACAAATGGCATCCCATGGTGAGTACCGGTACTCTAAATCATAAAAAAATATCCTTTGTTATTACTTCATTATCTACAGATACAATTCAAATGAGTAATTCATACAACCATTTTTTACATCTGTAGTCATGTGTACATGTCTTTTTAAAGCAATTCACTCGATACAAAGGGTAATAACAAAGATAATACACACAACCTATTCTGTATAAAGCATATATAGATATGGAAAGCTTAATGTCAAAAGATAAAACACATGTTCACAAGTGATACAGTGATTGAACAAAAACTTACTGTTCAAATATATCATCATAAGAAACAAGTTATTCCAAGATTATAATTTTTTTAAATATTTAATTTCTTCAAGATAATCCCTTCAGTGTGTGATCTTGCACGTAATTGGCCTAAAGTTTATCAACTTTTGTCCAGTCACAACACACACAAAGACTGCAGTGTGTACATTATCATGACACACAGCAATGCAGTGTGTGTATTGAACAGTAACATGTACACACAATTGGATACCAGGTACATTGGACTGATACATTAACAAAAAGGGGTGTGTATGGTATTCACTGTGCACAGGTGATAAATAGTGTGTTTAAAATTGTGTGTATCATTTCAAACAGTAATGCTTTGCTACTTCATAAATTCACTTCAAGACAGGTACATGGAATGGTCCATTACAAACAAAAGGGGTGTTTTAATACTAACCTGTCCACACTGACAGAGCGCTGTCTACATGGCAGCTTTTCCCCTCTCCTCTCCCCCCTCTGACTGAGTCGACGAGCCAACTTGGCCAAACCTCCATTGCTGGCACTTGTTCTTACTCTCTCTGTGTCAGGGGTCTGTGGAATGTTGAAAAAGGGGAAAATATGTTGAAAAAGGAGGAGGATATATGTTGAAAAAGGACGAAAATATGTTGAAAAGGGGGAAAAATATGTTGACAAATCTTTATACAAATATGCAGCACTATTTTGGATGATTAATTATTTTAAAAAAGAGAGATTTATATGCAGCATCATCTCAGTACAAGTGGTTCTGCGGAGACTGAATTATATTTATCCATGTCTTGCTGTCAGTGAGTGACATTTTTGTCAGAAAAAGCACTGTAAAAATCTACATTTTTAGTTATCATACTTTTTCTTCAAAAACATTTGAATCTGTAAGGGTGTGTCTACAAGGTTGTGTGAAGAGGTCAGTTTTCCCCTCCTATCTTCAAGAAATATTATTGATTTTATATGTAAAAGGATAGAAGTAAAATGTGGGTGGGTATTATATGCTTACGGTAGGTCTGGGAGGAACAGGGTAGTATAGCTGTGATGAGGTCTGAGAGAAGGGTGTGTCTTCAAGGCTGGGTGTAGGGGGTAGGTACCCCTCCTCTTCATCTTCTAACCTCCAGGCCGCACCTAAGAAGGATAAACAAAAGTCTGGATTTAGACTACAGAAGAAAAAAAATCAACAAGTAAATATTCACAATGAATGATATACGCCTAAAAACTAAAACAACAAGTCATCTAAACATGAGATGGATGTAATCATGACATCACGCCACTAGCGATCTGATTCTCATTGATCTTTGGAGCAGAGGAAACAGCCATCATCGGTGTTTTGTTATTATCTCGTAATGTATTTTCCCTTTTTTATATTGTATGTGACATCTTGATGAATAAAGCATACTTGATATGATGCTGTTACATCATAGCATAAAACTGCCATATTCTATATTTACTATCAATAATCTAAGTAAATTCTAGTGAATGTTTATTTATTTGCCCCAAAACGAATGTCAGATGAAATTTCAATATGTACTTTTTGTGTCAAATTCATGGGAGATGAATTTCTAAAATTCTAACATTCTTGTCAGTAAAATAATCCTTGCTTTCATTCCCCTTTCTGGTTCTGTGATCAATAAAGTAAACACAAAATCATTGAATCAACAAGTCTTGTATGTTAATAACATTGTCATCATCATCATCATCATCATCATCATCACCACCACCACCACCATCACCATCATCATTATCAGTAGTCACTAGGAGCATCATAACAGTTGTCGTCCTCATTATCATCGTTATACCATCATCATCGACACCATCATTGTATTTATTCATCATTCTTGCCGACTCTTTTATCCCTCTCCCATTACTAACACAAACAACTACAAGTGGTTCCGTGCGAAACGAATTTCATCATGGTACAACGCCTTGACTCCTAAATGATATGCAAATCACCCTACTTTTGCAGCTTTCAAGGCCAAACATATTGAATAACAAACGCAATCAGATAAGAAAGATATGCAAGTAGCCCACGCTTCTCGGTGTCTCGTTGCAACAGAGAGCGCACATATATATTTATTGACTTTATTGAGCCAGAAGGGCATTAACTTTTACACAGAGTTAACGCCCGGCCTTTCGACTCCAAACAGGCGTTATGCTCTGTCCTTGCTAGTGATGCGTGATTTGAGAGTGGGCAAAGGAATAAATAAACAGCAAGCCGTTGAATACCTCGGTCAAGTGGTTCTTAATTCAGTTTCTGGTATTGTTTCTCTGAATAATTCATTTCTAATGCTCTGCTGATATCAAAACGTAAAATTTTTCATTCATAAATACCCCGTATGATGAGGACTAAAATTTTCATATCTGTTAAAAAAGCATTAAGGCTAACTGAGAATAAATGCCACTTATACAGACCCAATCCAATAACCTCAAAAGACCACACTTTCTCTGTTACTGTTCTTCTAATTAAAGGCAAGAAATGCTATAAAAATGTTCAACCTACCATTAAAATGATGTCATAGGAGCTTCACAATAATGCGCAAGAACATTTATCAAAAGCATCTCTATTTCCCTTGTGAGTCGTAACCTTCTTCACAATGACTCTTCACCATCTTGGCTAACGGCTAAAGTGCTTATCGACAATTACTGATGCCATAATTAGACATTAAAGCCTGACGGGCCAATGCAACAGCTGTATATATAGCCACCGTTCTTGAAAATTGCACAAGCCTTCATCAAACTCTCATTAGCGAATCTGCTTTTAAAAGTTGAAGACAATTCTGAGTCGGTGAAAGAAACAGCACATAATTATGAAAAATATTGAATAGATGTGTGACTGATAAATAAAAATCATTAATCACTGTATCAACTAATTTGAACTCTTCTTTTAATTGGTGTATGAAGCCAGACACGTCACAGCGTGACCGAAGTTAAGGTCATGAAATATTCATTTCTTAATGATGGTTGTGAGTTGTGACGGAGGCACGTATAAATAAACCAATTTCTAAGACCAAGAAAAAAAAAAATCCTCTCCCGGTAGATTTGATCGCTAAAATTATCCCCATCAAATTGGGTCATTGCCCAGCGCTGGAGAATTATTCATGAAGGATTTAGAATTAATTATATGTCTGAGAAAATTTGGTAGGTAGTACTGGAATAACATTGGTTTCTCTAAATATGATAAACAATCGCCAGTGATGTGTGATGCTAACTCATTCAATTTTAATCAAACTTTTTCATCACCTTGCAGTTCTTTCTCTTATGTGATGTCCTTCTTCTTTTGATGACATATGTTCGGCTAGAAACAATAGACATGTAATACGGTATTCTCCTTTTCGATCTCTTTTCTCTTTTTTCTCTATTTTCTCACGCAGGAATACCAGACACAATTACGTATCGTTTTGTCAGCGCCAGAAGGGTGTTTGTTCACAATGTGATAAAGTACAGGAGTTAAAGTCGTTCTGGACCAAACAGACAATATGATCCATCGATCATTACCTCCTTGAAGTCATTAATTACACGCATTTGAACAACCGAACTCTCCCAGTGCCCGCTGACATTTGATTTATCGCAGGTCATCGTAACTATTTAACACATTAAGTGTTCACTTTGTGAATCATTGATGAATAGAAGAACTCGGTCGCAGATCAAATGGGGCATCGGAAAGGGTGAGATCGCAAATGGAGCATCAACGAATGTTATTAGCATTGATCAGGCCTGATGGACACAAACTGAATACCAACTACAGCACAAAGAATTAGAAATCGACCCACTGCATGTCGGTCCAGGTCGCATAAATGTTGCAATCATAGTATGTTTAATGAACACAATGTTCCAAATACATCTATTGAGAATCTAGGCAAATTATATTGGATTAAATTTGAAACTTGCATGCGATTGCAGCTTTATGTAACCTTCTAATTATTTCTGAGAATCAGGAACATTCACATTTAATTGTTACTTGCATTTGATAGCATCATTCTAAGTATGTCCAATGAAAATAAAGGATAATCATATTTGACTGTAACTTGCAGCTGATCGCAACTTGATTGCAACATTCTACACATATCCATTGTGAATCAAGGAAAACTTGTTGGCAATCAAAGATATCCACAAAGATTGCAGATAGTCATATATTTCAATTTCAAAGAAGATATGACAATTGGTTGGCACATGAGCTTCAATCCATTTCTATAAAAACACTTGATAATTCTTTTTTAAATTGTATTGTCCCTACTACTTTGCCCCTTTTTTTTTAAGCTTCAAATTATAAGTAATCAGATGTAAAAATCAAGCCAGTCACCATACTTGTTAACCCCAATTTCAAAAGCTAGCATACTGAAACAAAATAGAATGAGGATATAAAATTTCAAAATGAGAATATATGGTGAAAAAATGGGGTTAAGTGATCCCATGGAGAAAGCCTGGCTGGTAATGGGGGCATTTGATGAATCATATCATTAGATTGCTATAATTATCCTCATTACTCTTCTCCAGACTCATAATTACATAGACGTCTGGGAAAATTTCTTAAACTGACAAAAAATTGACCTTAAATAGTCTCAGGAACAGACGGCATTCTTTGAAAAGAAATATTATATGAAAGCAATATTGAAGGAGTGCATGATAGATCTTCAATGATATAGTTGAAAATCATCCACTTTATACCAATTCTTTCTGCTTCCCTCATAAAGATACACTTTCGTAACTTATAGCAATACAGATTGGTAGCTTAATTCCTTCTTACTTTTGTAAATTCTTTGAGTATAAATATTTTGAAGATTAAAAAAGAAGAAAAATTCAAGGATACAGTGAATTAAAAACATTTCAACAAATAAAAGTTAAATTTTTATTTAACATTGCAGTTTTGTGTCTCAAATCCTGATTACTCTGATGCAGCTCAGGGGTCTATAAATCAAAGCGCATTTTAAAATCAATGCTACATGAGCTCGCTCCTTTCCGCACTCTGCAACATAAATATATTTCAATGTCAAAACTGCTCTCCAGCTAAATATCTCAGACTGATTGATGCTGTACTTTAATGATAATATAAGACTCGATTGATCGAGAGGAATTTTTATTTCACGATGTTCTAACAAGTGTGAAGTTGAAGTCCATTACTCTCCAAGTTCAAAATGGACGCCAAGTCCCCCATCCTGTCTACTCCCGTATTGACTTTTTAATTTCACACAAGGCTAGTCATGTGGACGCGAGGCGACTGAGTGAGGATTAGGTTCCGTTCTCAAACAGTCGACCAGCTTCTTCTTTATCAAGTTCGGGAGAAATTATCGGCCGACGAATGGCGGGGATACCCCTAGAATTAAAGTGTACCGATCATTAAGAATTATTTTGTTTTGTTTGTTAGCAGTTACATGTTGTAATATTATTTTCAACATATAAGCATCAAATATTACTCCTGTAAAGGGATATTGCAAGTTTCAAAGCACTCTCAATTAACATAATGGCAACTTATTTATGAGTAGACTAATTAATAGACACACCAATACGTGTTCTCATAATGACACCCGGATCAGACTTGAGTTCCAAGGCTGCAATTTTATGTTATTCTTTATTTTCTTCATACTCTTTATCTCTTAGCCCCCCTCCCCAACCCACCCCAACAAAGCCGATTTGAATTCATACATTCTAGCTGTACACAAATCATTTTTTTAGGCAATTGGTACTCTTTAAAGTTGTCTGTATATAGATACATCAGAGAAACTCATTAATCTCTAGTTTGCTGCATGAGTCGAGACAGAGACCATGCATGACAATCATGAAAATGAGGCATTCCTGCACACCCTAATTAATGCTGGCCACACCAAACTTTGTCAATTGTGATTGGAGTAGCAGATAAGAATGAAGATCATATCTTTTGAAATGTTGAAAAAAGTCAAGAAAAACTTCAAGAAAACAAGGAGTATCTATTAGTTGGTTGCTTTTTTAATAACAGAAGGAACCCATTTTAATTCATTACAAACACTTAATGTGTATAGATGAAAGTGATGAAACATAACAAAAAAAAAGAACAAAATCTAGAAATATCAAGTAATATGTTACCTACTGTTTCTTTGAATGAGTCAATGTAGGTATTAACTTCTTTCTGATCCTACAGAATAGAAAGATATGTC